TTTATTATTTTTTTTTCTGAGAGACAGGGTCTCATTTTTTTGCCCAGGCTTGTGTGCAGTGTTGCAGGTCATAGCTCACTGCAGCCTCAACTGCCTGGGCCCAAGTGGTCCTCCCCCGTTCCTAGTAGCTGAGACGACATGCCTGCACCACCACATCTGGCTAATTTCTTTTATTTTTTTTTTTAGCGATGGGATCTTGTTTCGTTGCCCAGGCTGGCCACAAATTTCTGGGCCCAAGTGATCTTCCCACCTTAGTCACTTAAAGTGCTGGGATTACAGATGTGAGCCACCACATCTGGTGAGTTCATTTTCTATTCCTGGTTCACTGTAAAGGATATGTCTCAGAAACAGCCAGTGAAAGAGATGTGCATGCTGGATGCAGTGGCTCATGCCTGTGATCCCAGCGCTTCGGGAGGTTGAGTTGGGAGGATCGCTTAAACGCAGGAGTTTGAGTTCAGCCTGGGAAACATGGTGAAACCCTCTCTCTATAAAATACAAAAATTAGCTGGGCATGTTGATATGTACCTGCAATCCCAGCTACTGAGGAGGCTGAGGCAGGAGAATCACTTGAACCCAGTAGCAGTGGTCGCAGTGAGCTGAGATCACGCTACCGCACTCCAGCCTGGGCTGCTGAACAAGATTTTTTCTCAAAAAATAAATGAATATAAATAAATAACTAGGTGTGGTGGTGTGCACCTGTTGTTCCAGCTACTAGGGAAGCTGAGGTGAGGATGCATTGAGCTGGGGACTGGGGAAACTTAGGTTGTGGTGAGCTGAAATTGTGCCACTGGACTCTAGCCTGGTCAAAAGAGCCAGACCCTGTCTTTAAAAAAAAGAAAGAGGAGAACGAAAGGAAGGAAAAGGAGAAAGAAATGAAAGATGGATGCCCAGGGGAAGGTAAGTGGGAGGTGCACAGAGCTTCCATGCCCTCTGTTCAACATGCCGCCCTCCCAGCACCACCTGTATTCAACCAGAAGCTCTGCAAACCCTGTTGTTCCGGTGTTTACAGAGGCTCGATTATGCAAGCATGATGGATAAAATCTTTGGCCATTGATAATTAAGTCAATCTTCAGCCACTCTCACCTCCTGGAGTTCAGCAGGTGAGGCTAAAAGTTCTAAGCCTCTAATCATGTGGTTGCTTTCTCTGGCAATCAGCCTTCCTCCTGAAGAAATCCAGGAGTGTGCACCCACCCAGTCATCTCAACCACATCCCCAAATGCATTCTTAGCATGCTGGAGATCCCAAAGTTCTTAGAGTCTCTTGTGTTAGAAAGCTGGGACCAAGAGCAAATATTAAAACTAAAGATGCTCCTATCACCTCTACCACTGAGGTCTTTATTAGCATTCAATAATAAAGGGACAGGAACCAGGGACAGAGAAGAAATTATTTATTTTCTTTTTTTTTGAGACAGAATCTCCCTGTGTCATCCAGGCAGGAGCACAGTAATATGATCATAGCTCATGATAGCTTTGACCTCCTGAGCTCAAGTGATCTTCCCACCTCAGACTTCAGAGTAGCTGGGACTACACATGCATGTCACCCATGCCCAGCTCATTTTTGTAAAGATTAGATTTAGTCATGTTGCCCAGGCTGATCTGAAACTCCTGGACTAAAGCCATTATTTCACATCAGCCTCTCAAGTAGCTGGGACTGCAGGCGCACACCACCATGTCGGGCTGATAATGATTTTTATGCTTTCATAGAGGTGGGATCTCACTCTGTTTCCAGGCTAGTTTCAAACTCCAGGCCTTAAATGTTCCTCCTGCCTTGACTTCCCAAAGTGTTGGGGTAATGGGTGGGATCCACCATGCCCAGCAGTCACAAAGATCCTTATAAAAGAAAGAGGTTAGAAGAGTGAGAATTGGAGCAGGAGATGTGTTGGTGGAAGCAGAGTTAGAGAGGGAGATTTGCAGATGTTTCACTTCTGGCTTTGAAGATGGAGTTAAGGGCCACGATCCAAGGAATGGGGTGGCTTCTAGAAGCTGGAAAAGCCAAGGGAACACTTTAGAGCCTCCAGAGGGAATGCAGCCCTGCTGACACCTTAACTTTAGCCTTAATAGACCTAATTTGGGCTTCTGATTCCCAGAAGTGTAAGTTGGTAGATTTGTGGTATTTAAGGGGACTATTGTAGGGTAGTTTGTGGCAGCAGCAAGAGGAAATAAACATGACGCCAAGCATCGTGGCTGATGTTGGTAATCCCAGCACTTTAGGAATCCCGGCAGGAGGATCACTTGAGGCCAGGAGTCCAAGGTCAGCCTGGGCAACATAGTGAGACCCTGTCTCTACAAAACATTAAAGGACCGGGTGTGGTGGCTCACTCCTGTAATCCTAACACTTTGGGAGGCCAAGGATCACCTGAGGTCAGGAGTTTGAGACCAGCCTGGCCAACATGACAAACCCCCATCTCTACTAAAAATACAAAAATTAGCCAGCATAGTGGCACACACCTGTGATCCCAGCTACTTGGGAGGCTGAGGCTGAGGAATCACTTGAACCTGGGAGGCGGAGGTTGCAGTGAGCTGGGATTGCACCATTGCACTCCAGCTTGGGCAAGAAGAGTGAAACTCCATTTCAAAATAAAACAAATTAGCCAGGCACGATGGCATGCACCTGTCGTTCCAGCTACTAGGGAGTCTTGAGGTGGGAGGATCAGTTGAGCCTAGGAATTCGAGGTTGCAGCGAGCTGTGATTGCACCACTCCACTCCAGCCTTGGTGATAGAGTGAGATCTTGTTTTTAAAAAAAAAAAAAAAAAAAAAAAAAAAACGGGAATGGGGACAGATTGCAATGTTAAATAGAAAGGTCAGGGGTGGCCTCCGAACTGAAAATTGAGCAGACTTGGAGGGGAAGGAGCTGGCCGAGGTGCTGAAGGAGGAGCATTGTGGGCAGAAACAACAGAATAAAGCATCTGAGTCTCTGGAAGGAGGCCAGTGGAGCAGGAGACGGGGAGAGGATTAGCGGAGGAGGCCATGGAGTTGCTGTGTGGGGATCAGTATAGATGGTGTAAGCCCTGGGAGGTTATTGCTGGGGCTTTGGCTTTTACTATGAGATGGGAACTGTGGGAGGGTTCTGAGCAGAGAGGTGACATGATCTGTCTCCTGATATGAAAGCATTCTCTGGCTGCTGAGTTGAGAAAGACTGTGGGAAGATTTGGATGGAAGCATGGGGGTCAAACTGTGGTAACATCCAGGTGGAAGATGATAGTGGTCCTGACCAGGGTCATGGTGTTGGTGAGAGATGGTCAGAGGAGAGTAGGGGGAGAGTCCAGGGAGTTGCTGGGTGGGGATCTTCAGTACATGGTGAAGACAGTGAACAGGATTTCCTGACAGACTGGATGTGGGGTGTGAGAGAAGGCAGGGGTCGAGGTTGAGTTTGATTGTTATTGAATTATTAAGTAATTTTTAAAAACTCTACTGCCTTTCCCAGTGTTACCAAATATGGGATGCTAGATTAAAGAAATCTCTTCAGGCTCAATGCAGTGGCTCATGCCTGTAGTCCCAGATGTTTGGGAAGCAGAGATGGGAGTATCTTTTCAGGACAGAAGTTCAAGACCAGCCTGGGCAACATAGCAAGACCTCCTCGCTACAAAAATATTTTTCAAAATTTAATAAAATAAATGTAGCTAGGCATGGTGATGTGTACTTGTAGTCTCAGCTACTCAGGAGGCTGAGAAATTAGCCAGGTATGGTGGCACTCAACTGTAGTACCAGCACTGGGGAGCAGAGGCAGGAAGATGGCTTGAGCCCAGGACACTGAGGCTGCAGTGATCTATAAGTGCACAACGGCACTCCAGCCTGGGTGGCAAAGCGGGACCTTGTCTCACAATACAAATAAAGTGATGAAATCTCAAATCAGAGCCTTTTGGCTCTGCAGCCCTTGCAACCCTGGAGCCATGCAGTGGGGTTTTTATCACTGGGAATGAGGAGACCCCTGCCCAGTGTTGTTGCCTGACTAATCAGTGTTTTAAAAAATATGTTAATCGGTCCGGGTGCAGTGACTTAGGCCTGCATTCCCAACACTTTGGGAGAAGGAGGTGGGTGGATCACGTGAAGTCAGGAGTTCAAGACCAGCTTTGCCAACATGGCAAAACCGTATGTCTACTAAAAAACAAAGATTACTTTGGGAGGCCGAGGCGGATGGATCACAGGGTCAAAAGATCGTGACCATCCTGGTCAACAAGGTGAAACCCTGTCTCTACTAAAAATACAAAAAATTAGCTGGGTATGGTGGCACGTGCCTGTAATCCCAGTTGCTCAGGAGGCTGAGGCAGAACTGCCTGAACCCAGGAGGCGAGGTTGCGGTGAGCCGAGAAGGCGCCATTGCACTCCAGCCTGGGTAACAAGAGCAAAACTCTGTCAAAAAAAAAAAGAAAAGACAAAAAAACAAAGATTAGCCAGGCATGGTGGCAGGTGCCTGTAATCCAAGCTACTTCAGAGGCTGAGACAGGAGAATCCTTTGAACCGGGAGGTGGGGCAGAGATTGCACTGAACCGAGATTACATGTTTCATTCCAGCCTTCGGGAAAGAGCGAGACTCTGTCTCAAAGAAACAAAAGGATTACTTATATTACTACTTAATAATTTTATTATTGTTTAAGATGGAGTTTTGCTCTTGTTACCTAGGCTAGAGTGCAATGGCATGATCTTCACTCACTGCAAACTCTGCCTCCCGGGTGTAAGCAGTTCTCCTGCCTCTGTCTCTCAAGTAGCTGGGATTACAGGTGCCTGCCACCACACCTGGCTAATTTTGTATTTTTTAGTAGAGACAGGGTTTCAGCATGTTGGAGGGCTAGTCTCAAACTCTTGACCTCAGGTGATCCACCCACCTCGGCCTCCCAAAGTGCTGGGGTTATAGGCATGAGCCATGTCGCCCAACGAGTTTTATTATTAATAGGTAATGAATAAAATATTTTAGAATGTTTGTTTTGTATTAGTTATAATAACATGTAATGTTTTTATTATTAATACGTAATAAATAATATTTTTAAAAGTTTGTTTTATTTTTAACTTTAATGTAATTATTTATGTAAAGAAAAAGTCTTAGAAATCTTACATAAAGTTAAAAAATGTAATGGGATGCTAGACCCCAAAAGATTTAGCAGCATTACTCTGAGAACTTCCAGTTTAGAAATATACAGAGTAAGCCACATACAACTTGCTATGTGATCTATTTTGTTTTCTTTTTTGTTTTAGGATATGGGGTCTCACTCTGTCACCTAGGCTGGAGTACAGTGGTGCAATCACAGGTCACTGCAGGCTTGCACTCCTGAGCTAAGGATCCTCCTGCCTCTGCCTCCTTAGTAGCTATACATGATGACACCTGGTTAATTTTTAAATGTTTTCATACACATTGGATCTCACTTTGTTGGTCAGGCTGGTGTCAAACTCCTGGCCTCTAGTGACTTTTCCATCCCTGCCTCCCATCCTAGAGGCATGATCCACCACAACGAGCACTTGTTCAATTTTCTAAGGAAATAAAATTTTCTAAAGTAAGCCTGTGGCAGGAAGATAAAAGTAAAAAACAGAAGAATACATTCTAATGATTTATTCCCACATATTCTTTTGAAAGCAAGAACTTTTAGTAGACACATATTTTACAAAGGCAAAGAAACAATGTTTTACAAGTACTTCAACACACACTGTCATGTTCTTACTTCTCTGACATCAGTTCTTTTTTGTATTTTTAGTAGAGATGGAGTTTCACCATGTTGACCAGGATGGTCTCGATCTTCTGCCCTCGTGATCCAACTGCCTCAAGTCAAGCTCTTCAGGCCCACTTTGAGCCTTCCGATGACCTGGACAGGCCCAGCTCTTTCCTCCCAGTGGCCTCTGCAGGCCTAGCTTTTGCCTCACAGGTATTCCTTGAACAGGTTTCTGCTTGCCTCCTGGTAGCCTTGAGAAGCCCAGGTGTTGCCTCACTCTAACCTCATTAGGACCAGGTCACAGTGGCCTCTCCAGACCCAGCATCTGTCCCCTGACAGGCTGTCCAGGCCAAAATGTCTTCTAGTCACCCTCTTCAGGCGCAGCTTCTGTCTCACACTGGACTCTTTAGGTACAGCTCATGCCTTTCGGCAGCCTCTTGAGGCCCAGTTCCTGTATCTCTGTGGCCTCTCCGGACTGAGAGATTTCTCAAATCTGCCATTCCAGGTCCAACTCCTGCTTCCAGTCGGCCCCAATAGGCTTAAACTCTGCCTCACAGCAGACACCCCAGGCCAAGCGTGTGCCTCACCACAGTGCCCCCAGGCCAAGCTTCTGCCTTTCGGCAGCATCTGCAGGCCCAGCTACTGCCTCCTAATGGCCTGTCTAGGTGAAGCTCATGCATCACAATGGCCATTCTGATCAAGCTTTTACTTTTTGGCAGCGTCTCCACGCCCAGAACTTCCTGAAGTGGGCCCTCCCATGCCCAGCATTGGCCTGCTGGCATCCTCTCTGGGCCCAGAACGTCTTCAGGTAGGCCCAGCTTTTGGGGCCCAGCTCCTCCTCTCAGCTGTGTCTACGGGCTCAACTTTTGAATTTGCCTCACAGCAACCTCTGGGGACTCGGTTCCTCCCCAGCTTCTGGTGTCCTTTATAGGCCCGAAAGCTCAGGCTCTCCAGGCCCTCCCAGCTCATGTCTCACACTGGCCTCTCCAGGCTCGGCTCCTGCCCTCCCAGGGCATCTCCAGGCCTCAGACGTTCCCGAGTCGGCTTCTGCTGGCCCGGCTCCTGCTGCCTCATCATGCTGGCCTCGGGAGGCCCAAGCATTGGTTCCTGAAGTTTATCTCTGCAGGCCCAGCTTCTGCCTTCCCGGCAGCCCCCCAACATGGGCTCCTCCAGGGCAAGCTCCTGCCTCCCAACGGCCACCTGGGACACAGCTCCTGCCTTCTGTCAGCCTCTTCGGGAGGCCCAGCCTCTGCCTCCCTACTGCCGGCCCCCACACACCCGGATCGTCATCCTGGCTGCGTCTATCTGCCAATGTTTTGCCCCCTGGCGGCCTCTTTTGGCTCGGCGCCTGGCCAGCTCCCGACGGCCTCTCGTCTGTCGGCCCGAAGCTTCCTCGGGGATTTCGGGGTGTCCCTTCTGCATCCCGGTGGCCTAGACAGGCCCAGCTACATCCTGACATCGGCCTCTCCATGCCCACTTCTGGCCTCCCTACAGCACCCCCAGCACCATCCACTGTGTGCCGGCCGCTTCCCCAGGCCTAGATCCTGCCTACCTCCCGACTTCGTCCACAAACCCAACGCCTCCCTCACACTGGCCAGTTGAGGCCCAGCTTGGCCTCTAGCACATGTCTCTGGACCCAGATCTCACCTGGTGCTCGCCTTGAGTCTGAGCCCAGGTCCTCCCTCGCACCGACCTTTCTCGGCCCAGCTCGCCTCTCATAAACTCTCCGGCCAGCTCCTGCCTCCCAGCGGCCTGTCCAGGCCCGAAGCTTCCTCTCCGGGCCCAGCCTCTCCAGGCCTGGCTCCTGCCTACGCTAGGCCCCTCTGGGCCCAGCCTCCACCTAACAGTGGACCCTCCAGACCCAGCTTATGGCCTCATCGTGGTCTGCGCTCAGCCCAGCTCCTGCCTCTGTGGCAGCCTGTCTCCACAGGCCCAGCTCCTGGCCTCCAGGTGGCCCCCTCGGGCCAAACCGGTGCCCCCAGGCGGCCCTGTGCCTAGCGTTGGCCTTCTGGCATCCTCTCCTTGTCCAGAATGTCAGCCTCTTTGGTCCCAGCCCCTCCTTCTGGCAGCTTCTTAGGGCCAACCTTTTGTTCTCGCCTCGCAGCAACCTCTGTTGCTCGGCTCCTCCCTAGCTCCTGGAGGCCTTTGTAGGACCAAAAGCTCAGGCCCTCGACTCAGGCTTTCCAGGACTACCCAGCTCATGCCTCATGCTGGCCTCTCCAGGCTCAGGTTTTGCCCACCCAGGGTTCCTATAGGCCCCAGATGTCCCAGAGTCGGCTTCTTCAGGCCCGGTTTTGGACTCCTCCTAATGGCTTCTGCAGGCCTAAGCATTGGGTTCTTAATTTGGCCTCTGCAGGCCCAGCTCCAGTTCTGCTGGTGTCTCCTCCCCATGGGTGCAAACGTCATCATGTGGATTCTTCTAGGGCCAGCTCATGCTTCCCAAAGGCGCCCTGGGCTTAGCTCCTGCCTCCCGTCAGCCTCTCCTGAAGGCCTAGCATCTGCCTCGGTACTGGCGGCCTCTCAAGGCCTGGATCCTCCTCCTGGCCACGTCTCCGGGCCCAAGTTTTGCTCCCGGCAGCCTCTTTTTTTTTTTTTTTTTTTAAAGAGATGGAGTTTTGCTCTTGTTTCCCAGGTGTGGGTACAATGACGTGATCTCCGTTCACCTCAACCTCCGCCTTTTGGGTTTAGGCAATTCTCCTGCCTCAGCCTCCTGAGTAGCTGGAGTTACAGGCACACGCCACCATACCCAGCTAATTTCTTTTTCTTTTTGAGACAGAGTTTCGCTCTTGTTACCCAGGCTGGAGTAGAATGGTGCAATCTAGGCTCACGGCAACCTCTGCCTCCTGGGTTCAGGCAATTCTCCTGCGTCAGCCTCCTGAGTCGCTGGGATTACAGGCACCCGCCACCGTAACCAGCTATTTTTTTTTTTTTTTTTTTTTTTTGACAGAGTTTTGCTATTGTCCAGGCTGGAGTGCAATGGCGGGATCTCGGCTCACCGCAACCTCCGCCTCCTGGGTTCAGGCAATTCTCCTGCCTCAGCCTGCTGAGTAACTGGGATTACAGGCACGCACCACCGTGGCCAACTAATTGTTTCTTTTCTTTTTGAGATGGAGTTTTGCTCTTGCTGCCCAGGCTGGAGTGCAGTGGCACGATCTCGGCTCACTGCAACCTCTCCCTTCTCGGTTCAGGCAATTCTCCTGCCTCAGCCTGCTGAGTAGCTGGGATGACAGGCACGCACCACCATGCCCAGCTAATTTTTTGTATTTATAGTAGAGATGGGGTTTCACCATGTTGACCAGGATGGTCTCAATTTCCTGACCTCATGATCCACCCGCCTCGGCCTCCCAACGTGTTGGGATTACAGGCGTGAGCTACTGTGCCTGGTCCCCAGCAGCGTCTTTTGGCTCGGCTCCTGGCCAGCGCCCGGAGGCCTTTTGTCTGTCGGCCCAAAGCTTCCTCAGTGTCCCTTCTGTTGAGGCCACTGGGAGGCAGAAGGGACGCCCGGAAGGCCCTACCTGAGGAAGCTTTGGGCCAACAGACGAAAGGCCTCTGGGAGCTGGCCAGGAGTCGAGCCAAAAGAGGCTGCCAGGGGCAAAACTTGGGCCGGTAGATGTGGCCAGGAGGAGGTGCTAGGCCTGGTGTGGCTGCCAGTAGGGAGGCAGAGGCTGGGGCTCCTGGAGAGGCCGCCTGATGGGAATCAGGACCTGGGTTCCAGGGGCCACTGGGATGCCGGAGCTAGCCCCGGAGGGGACCATGTGATGATGTATTGTGCCCACGTTGGGGGGTGCCGCCGGAAGGGCAGGAGCTGGACCTGCAGACGCAGGCTTCATGACCCAATGATTGGGCCTCCCAAGGCCAGTGGGAGGACAAAGCAGGACTGGGCCTCAGGGCCGAGCTTTGGAGTCCCCCCAGCCTCCCCAGCCCCAGCTGCTGCCTGCTGGCTGCTTCCGCAGGCCAAGATCCTGCCTGCCTGCCTGCCTGCCTGCATCCCGGCTGCATCCACAGGCCCAGCGCCTCCCTCACACTGGCCAGTTGAGGCTCAAGTCATGCCTTTGCCGGACGTCTCGAGCCAGCTCTCACTTGGTGCTGGCCTTGAGTCTGGACACAGGCCCTCCCTCGCACCGGCCTCTCTTGGCCCAGCTCACCTCTCATAAACTCTCCGCCAGCTCCTGCCTCCCAGCGGCTTGTCCAGGCCTGAAGCTTCCTCTCTGGGCCCCGCCTATCCAGGCCTGGCTTTTGCCTGTGCTAGGCCCCTCCAGGCCCAGCCTCCACCTCTCAGTGGACCCTCCAGACCCAGCTTGTGGCTTCATTGTGGCCTCCGCTCAGCCCAGCTCCTGCCTCTGTGGCAGCCTGTCTTCACAGGCCCAGCTTGTAGCCTCCCGGTAGCTCCCTTGGGCCAAACTGGTGCCCCCAGGCCGCCCTTCCATGCCCAGCATTGGCCTCCTGGCATCGTCTCCTTGTCCAGAGTGTCTTCAGGTCAGCCTCTTGGGGCCCAGGCCCTCCTTCCGGCGGCTTCTAAGGGCCAACCTTCCATTCTCGCCTCGCAGCAACCTCTGTGGACGCGGCTCCTCCCCAGCTCCCGGAGGCCTTTGTAGGCCTGAAAGCTCAGGCCCTCGACTCAGGCTCTCCAAGACTACCCAGGTCATGCCTCACGCTGGCCTCCAGGCTCAGCTTCTGCCCAGCCAGGGTTCCCATAGGCCCCAGATGTCCCAGAGTCGGCTTCTCCAGGCCCGGGTCCAGACTCCTCCTGTTGGATTCTGCAGGCTCAAGCATTGGGTTCTCAATTCGGCCTCTCCAGGCCCAGCTCCAGTTCTCCTGGCATCTCCTCCCCATGGGTGCAAAACATTGTCACATGGGCCCTTCTAGGGCCAGCTCATGCTTCCCAAAGGCCCCCTGGGCTTAGCTCCTGCCTCCCATCAGCCTCTCCTGGAGCCCCATCCTCTGCCTCTGTACTGGCGGCCTCTCCAGGCCTGGATCCTCCTCTTGGCCTTGTCTACGGGCCCAAGTTTTGCCCCTGGCAGCCTCTTTTTTTTTTTTTTTTTTTTTTGAGATGGAGTTTTTCTCTTGTTACCCAGGCGCGAGTGCAGTGACCTGATCTCGGCTCACCTCAACTTTTGCCTCTTGGGTTTAGGCAGTTCTCCTGCCTCAGCCTCCTGAGTAGCTGGGATTACAGGCATGCACCACCATGCCCAGCTAATTTTTTTTTTTTTTTGAGACCTATTTTTGCTCTCGTTACCCAGGCTGGAGTAGAATGGTGTGATCTCGGCTCACCAGAACCTCCGCCTTTTGGGTTCAGGCAATTCTCCTTCCTCAGCCTCCTGAGTAGCTGGGATTACAGGCACGTGCCACCGTGCCCAGCTAATTTTTTTTTTTTATTTTTTTGAGATGGAGTTTTGCTCTTGTTGCCCAGGCTGGAGTGCAATGGCACGATCTCGGTTCACTGCAATGTCTGCCTCCTGGGTTCAGGCAATTCTCCTGCCTCAGCCTCCTCAGTAGCTGGGATTACAGGCATGCACCACCATGCCCAGCTAATTTTTTGTATTTTTTTTTTTTTGAGACCTATTGTCGCTCTTGTTACCCAGGCTGGAGTAAAATGGCGTGATCTCGGCTCACCACAACCTCCGCCTTTTGGGTTCAGGCAATTCTCCTTCCTCAGCCTCCTGAATAGCTGGGATTACAGGCACGCACCACCATGCCCAGCTAATTTTTTTTTTTTTTTGAGGTGGAGTTTTGCTCTTATTGCCCAGGCTGGAGTGCAATGGCACAATCTCGGTTTACCACAATGTCTGCCTCCTGGGTTCAGGCAATTCTCCTGCCTCAGCCTCCTGAGCAGCTGGGATTACAGGCACACACTACCATGCCCAGTTAATTTTTTGTACTTTTAGTTGAGACAGGGTTTCACCACGTTGACCAGGATGGTCTCGATCTCCTGACCTCGTGATCCACCCGTCTCGGCCTCCCAAAGTGCTGGGATTGCAGGCGTGAGCCACTGCGCCTGGTCCCCAGCAGCGTCTTTTGGCTCGGCTCCTGGCCATCTCCTGGAGGCCTTTCATCTGTCGGCCCAAAGCTTCCTCAGGTGGCACCTTTCGGGCGTCCCTTCTGCCTCCCAGTGGCCTCAACAGAAGAGACACCTAGAAGGCCCCACCTGAGGAAGTTTCGGGTTGACAGATGAAAGGCCGAGCCAAAAGAGGCTGCCTGGCTCAAAACTTGGGCCGGTTGATGTGGCCAGGAGAAGGTTCAGGCCTGGTGAGGCTGCCAGTAGGGAGGCACAGGCTGGGCCTCCTGGAGTGACTGCCTGATGGGAACAGGACCTGGGCCCCGTGGGGCCACTGGGATGCAGGACCTAGCCTCGGAGGGGACCACGTGATGATGTATTGTACCCACGTTGGGGGGTGCCGCCGGGAGGGCAGGAGCTGGACCTGCAGACGCGGACTTCATGACCCAATGCTTGGGCCTCCCGAGGCCAGCGGGAGGACAAAGCAGGACTGGGCCTCAGGGCCGAGCTCTGGAGTCCCCGCAGCCTCCCCAGCCCCAGCTGCTGCCTGCTGGCTGCTTCCGCAGGCCAAGGTCTTGCCTACCTGCATCCACAGGCCCCGTGCCTCCCTCACACTGGCCCGTTGGGGCCCAGCTTGTGCCTGTGGCAAACCTCTCCGGACCCAACTCTCACCTCACACTTGCCTCGAGTCTAGGCCCAGGTCCTCCCTCACAGTGCCCTTCTTCAGCCCAGCTTGCCTATCACGGTCTCTCCTGGGCCAGCTTCTGCCTCACGGTGGCCTGTTCAGGCCCAAAGCTTCTTATCCGAGCCAGGCCTATTCAGGAGGCCCAAAGCTTCTGCCTGCACCAGGACATTCTGGGCCCAGTCTCCATTTTTCAGTGGACCCTCCAGGCCCAGCTTGTGGCATCACAGTGGCCTCTGCTCAGGCTCAGCTCCTGCCTCTGCGGCAACCTGTATCCACAGGCCCGGTGGCACTCCCGGGCCCAGCGTTTGCCTGGTGGCATCCTCTCTGGGCTTAGAACGTCTTCAGGTAGGCCTCTCGGGGCCCAGCACCTCCTCTCGGCAGCATCTATGGGCCCAACTTCCGAATTTGCCTCACAGCAACCTCTGTGGACTCAGCTCTTGCCCAGCTCCCGATGGCGTTTGTAGGCCCAAAAGCTCAGACTTGACTCAGGCTCTCCAGGCCCACCTGGCTCATGCCTCACAAGTGGCCTCTCCAGGCTTGGCTCCTGCCCTCCGAGGGCATCTCCAGGCCCTAGACGTTCCAGAGTCAGCTTCTGCAGGCCCGGCTCCTGCTGCCTCCTCCTGCTGGCCTTGGGAGGCCCAAGCATCGAATCCTGAAGTCAGCCTCTCCAGGCCCAGTTCCTGCCCTCATGGCATCTCCTTTCCATGGGTGGAAAACATCCTCACATGGGTGCCTCCAGGGCCAGCTGCTGCCTCCCAACGGCCCCCTGGGGCCCAGCTTCTACCTCCCCTCAGCCTCTGGGAGGTCCAGCCTATGCCTCCCTTGTGGCGGCCTCCCCAGGCCCAGATTCTCCACCTGGCCTCATCTACTGGACCACGTCGTGCCTCCTGGCAGCTGGTTTTTGCTCGGCTCCTGATCAGCTTCCAGCGACCTTCTGTAGGCCTGAAGCTTTCTCAAGTGGGGCTTTCTGGGCCTCCGTTCTGCCTCGCGGTGGCCTTGACAGGCCCTGCTACCACCTGACATTGGCCCCTTTTGGCCCAGCTCTGGACTCTCTGCAGCCTCCCCAGCACCAGCTGCTGCCTGCTGATGGCTTCCCCAGATGAAGATCCTGCCTGCCTGCATTCTGGCTGCGTCCACAGGCCCAGCGCTTCCCTCACAGTGGCTCATTGGAGCCCAGCACTTTCCTCACAGTGGCTCATTGGAGCCCAGCACTTTCCTCACAGTGGCTCATTGGAGCCCAGCACTTTCCTCACAGTGGCTCATTGGAGCCCAGCATTTTCCTCACAGTGGCTCATTGGAGCCCAGCACTTCCCTCACAGTGGCTCGTTGGAGCCCAGTGCTTTTCTTACAGTGGCTCATTGGAGCCCAGTGCTGTTTTTACAGTGGCTCATTGGAGCCCAGCGCTTCCCTCACAGTGGCTCATTGGAGCCCAGTGCTTTCCTTACAGTGGCTCATTGGAGCCCAGCGCTTCCCTCACAGTGGCTCATTGGGGCCCAGCTCATGCCTGTGGCAAACCTCTCCGGACCCAGCTCTCGTCTCACTCTTGCCTTGAGTCTAGGCCCAGGCGCTCCCTCGCAGGGGTCTTCCTCAGCCCAGCTTGCCTATCAGACTCTCCCGGGCCAGCTCCTGCCTCCCGGTGTCCTGTCCAGGCCCAAAGCTTCCTTTCCGTGCCCGGCCTCCCCAGGCCCAGCTTCTGCCTGCGCCAGGCCCATACCGGGCCCAGCCTCTGCCTTTCATTGGACCCTCCAGGCCCAGCTTGTGGCATCACCGTGGCCTCTGCTTAGGCCCAGCTCCTGCCTGTGGCAGCCTGTATCCACAGGCCCCACCCCCAGCCTTCCTGTGGCCCCATGGGGCCAAGCTGTTGCCTCCCGACGGCCCTCCCGGGCCCAGCATTTGCCTGCTGGTATCCTCTCTGGGCCCAGAACATCTTCAGGTAGGTGTTTCGGGGCCCAGCTCCTCTCTGCCATGTCTATGGGCTCAACTTTTGAATTTTCCTTGCAGCAACCTCTGGGGACTCAGTTCCTCCCCAGCCCCTGGCAGCCTTTATAGGCCCGAAAGCTCAGGCCCTCTGTCTGATCACAGCTCAAATGGGGGAAAAGGAACTAATGTTCTCAGGCTCTGGTCACCTAATTCCTGCCCTCCTTTGCAGGGTGGGTCCCAGGGATACCACCGACACTGGCTGTTTGTTCACTTGCTAGCACCACCTGGCAGGTTCCTCCCTGGGGCAGACTGATTCAGGTGCTTCCCTTTTCTGGTTTCCTGGCTTCAAGCCGGCACTCTGCAGCTTCACAGTGAAGCTCAGCCGACAGTACAGAGAGCTCAGGGACCAAGAGGCTGGACAGTGCCAATGGTGGTTGAGGGTCCTGGCCTGAGTACAAGGACCATTTCATGATTGTTGTTGCCATCACAAAGAGCAGTGTCCGTCCCATAGCACAGCCTCAGCTCCTCTTTTTTTTTGCTGTGTCCCAGGGCTTAGAAGGGCTGCCATCCTCAGGGCCGACAGCTCTACCGCTTTACCTGCTTGTGTGTAGAACAGCTTTACAGAGGTTAGGACACAGCTCAGGGTCACACTGCAAACGATTAAGCCACGGTCCACCCTAGACCTGGTGCCTCCAGAGCCTCAGTTCTCTTCATGCTGAAGTCCCTACTGGACTTCCTGGCAATTTCTAGCTCCTCTGCAAGGAGTGAGCTCTGGGTCCCAGCCTTTGCCCTTGGTCCCATCACAGCCCCCAGCCATCTCCCCATGGCAGCCCTTCATCAGACACAAGCTACAACCCTCCACAGAGGACGGTCTTGCCAGCCCCCAGGAGAGATGCTGACCCTGGTTGACTGTGACCATGATTGGTGTCCAGAGGCACTGGCAGCAGAAACGTCAAGCTGCCATCAAGAGTAATGGGCTTGTTTCCCTGTGGGCACTGGCGAGCCAGCTGGCCTTGGTGCCCATGCTGGCCAGTGGAAATTGTCCCCTCCAATAGTAAGAAGTGGAGACCCAGCCTCTGAACTCACAGGGGCCCCTGCCTGACTGGCCGCCTCCCTCTCTGCAGCTGTGGCATGAAGCTGAACGTGGACTACCTGGTGGAGATGCTTTGGGAGTACTTGGTCCTGACCTGCATCTACACCAGGAAGAGAGGATGTGAGTTACACTGCATGTAGCTGAGAAACAGGCTGAGCTTCATCCTCCCTAAAAGGCTGCCAGGCCTGTGGGAGGTGCCCAGAGATCCCGGCACCAGCTGTGGCCTGGCTTATTTAGACACATCTCAGCTCTTTTCCCTTCTCAGCACTGGGCACTGCTGGTTTTGAGGGTGCCCTGGTGGGGCAAGGCTACCTCATGGTCCTCACTGGCTGCAGCAGTTAGTGCCATCCTGACCTCTCCTCACAGTGACAGACCCCACCGCAGGAGCATTAGTGACCTGAATCCACAAGAGCCCTCCCCATGTCTGACCCCCACCCATCCTCCTGATTGCTGCACACACACATATGCCCTGGGGTCCCAGCTGCTGAATTCGGAGCACTTTGCATCAACCCTGACCTTGGCAGCAAGGAGCGAGCTAGTTTCCCTCACGAGACTCCAACACCCCTTTGGGTCCTGCCCGTTGAGTCTAGATCCTGGTCTCTGTCAGTGCTGTCACAGCAGATGGATGGCAGGCAGTGTGATCCTGGACTTTGATTTATTTTGAGTCACTGTGTTCAAGTAAGTGTTGTAGAAGATGGCACAGGGATATATGCGGAGGGCGTGCTGGATATTGGGGACGTTAGGCCAAGGCAAGGAGACTGAAAGGGCCTCTGCAGCCATCTCTTCCCTCGGGCAGAATCATGAGGTGGCAGTGTGGGTTTTCGTGTGTGGTTGACGCTCTCCCCATCTCGCCCTGCAGAGAGGCCGGACTTCACAGATGCCATCATCCTCCGGAAAGGGGCCTCAGTGGAGCACGTGGTGAGTTGACAAGACCTGCCCTAACAAGGGGCGGGAGCTCTGTATGCCCCTTGGAGCGCTGTTCTGCCTGAGGTGCCCTGGGCCAGGGGTGGGCTCTGCTGGTCTCAATCTCAGATGATGACACTCAGGCTCTGGAGTTGGACAGTCTGAGGCTGCGTCTGCAGTACCGCTTCCTAGCCATGTGCTGTGCCTCCAACCTCTCCTTTGAGGTGGGATGTGCTGCCTGCCCCCCTGGGTCGTCAGGAAGACACGTTGGATGAAGTCCAGCATGTAGGGCACTCAGCACACTGCCTGTAGTGCATAGATGCCAGTAACCCTGCTCCCATGCCCTTCAGGCATCATCCAAGGAGTGGGGAGTGGCGCTGGCTCAACACAGAAGTCAGGACAGGTTTCAAGGAGGCCACCTGAGCTGGCTTGTAGAACTAGCAGGTCTGGCAGTGAGGAGTTGGGGTGGGGAGCATCCCAGATAGGGGAGCAGGCATGCACAGGCCCCAGAGGAGGTGCTATTGGCTCAGGGAGCACGAGGCTGCCTTTCTCTGTCCAGAATTCTGTCACCTGAACATGACCCTGCAGGCACCGGTGGTGGCCAAGTGTTGGGTCACATGGCTGTGCTTCTGGGCTGTTGCTTTTTCAGGTGTTGTTTTCCTCAAGCTGATTTCTTCTTGGGATCTGTATCATGGAAGCAAGAGACACTGTTCCTCTAGCCCCTTATGATAGTGGTGGCTGGGCTTGCAATCTGGTCTCATGCATTCATTCCTTCTGAAAGCCCAGCCCCAGGTCTCTGGGTGCCACCCTGGAGGTGTTGAACAAATGAGGCCACGCAAAGTCCCATCTCTCTAAGACCTAGGCTTGAGATCACAGCAGGAGGAGCCAAGAAGACTCACGATTACCCTCCTGAATCCCTTCAGACACTCCCAAGTGGCAAGCTGAGTAAAATGTAAGACCCATTTGCAGGCCCGAATCAGCGACCTTCCCATCTCTGTCAGGGAAGTGGACCTGCAGGCCTGGCGCCGCCTCTGCCCCCGCCTCTGCCCCCGGGACACTGGGCTGAGGCGTTTTGTCTCCCACTGGGGCCTAGAAGTCTTGTGGGCATGTAGGGGGAGGAGCCGCATCGCACAATTGCAGAGTCCCTTCCCTGCCGCCCTCCACTGTCCCACCATCAGTGTGGCAACCAGAGGTCCACACTCAGGGCAAATGCTGGCTGCCCCTCCAGGGTCTCTTTCCAATTTCACATGACCTCTGGGACCCCTGTGACCTTCATCCCTACCAAGAAGCACTGGAGGCATTCACCCTCAGAACACACACCCCGGGGATATCTTTCGTGGCCTTGCCCTTGGCCAGTGCAGGCTGAGGTGACCCCTCTGCCCCCATTCCTCACCCAGGGAACCATCACCAAGTACAATCCACAGCAGGTGGGTCTGACCCACACCACGGAGCATGAGGAGGTCATCCAGATCGTGAAGAAGTAATGGCGCCTGCGAGGCCTTTCGCCTACCTGTCTCATCTCCCTGGGGGCATCGGTCCTACTGGGATACACAAACACCTTGGGTCCTCCACTCAAGGCTCTCCAGGATTGGAAGCAGAGCTTAGTGGATTCAAAGGACCAGCTGACACCTTCCACAGCCTAAGGGGTGTCCTAAAGTGCCTCCGTCTTTTTGACCCTCCCAGGGCAGCCCCTGCGCAACAAAAAACCCCCAGACCATGGGTCTACACACCTGGGCCAGGGACTTTTGAGTTTAGAATCTGTTTTCTAAGTCCCCAATTCTTCTGGCTCTCCTTTCTGAAATAAAGGATTGGAAACCATTCCTGTCCAGACTGAGAACACTTTGTAACCTTGCTGAACAGTAGCCAGGTTGAGTCAGGTGGGCACAGCTCAAGCATTGAAGGTAGCAGTGGGCCTGGGAGTTTAAGAGGGTGGAGCCTGGATCCCCAGGGCAGCCCCAGGCCATGGGTGGCAAGGAGAATGCAGGGTCCCTCATCCAGGCACGGGCAGGCTCTGCCCAGGGAGCTGGTCATGGGTGTCACGCCCAGACTGGCCCCTCCAGAGGGGCCTGGCTGCCAAGGTGGGCAGTATCCCAGGAGGCCTTTGTGACCATCTGGGTGGCAGGAAGGCTCCCCCATGAGAACAAGGTGGCTGACCATTTCCTGTTGCCTCAGAAGCCAGGAGCAGAGGGGCTGGCAGGGGCTCATTGAGTACCTACAATGTGCCAGGGACAGTGCTGGCCCCTCACGGTATTCTACTGTCCCTTGGAAGGTGGTGCAGGTTGAACAGTTTTTGAATGCAGAGCCCAGATGTAAGACCTGTGAGCAGCAGCGAAGGCTTCCTGGAGGAGGTGTGCCTTTTTGGAGGGATGCAGCAGGTTCTGTGAGGCTGTCAGGAGAGGTAGAGAGCTCCAGGGGTCCTCAGGCCCAGCTGGAGTATGGAGCAGGCCCAGGCCCAGGTTCTGGGCTGTTTGCAGCTCCGCTGTCAGCTGCTCAGTCCTTTCCAGAGACAAAACAGGAATAATAGACATCATTAAATATACATGTGGCTGGGGCCCCAGGCGGTTGACCTGGTGGGCCGGGCCTCCCTTCCCCATAACACCGAGCTGCTCTGCTGGGCTGATTGTGCTCCTGGGCCAGCCAGAGGACCCCCATGAGGCAGCATGCAGGCTAGGAGCAGGCCACGGGACCCAGATAAGGGGTCCCTAGCCTAGAGTCCTTGGGGTTGGCCACTAGCTACCCTCCCATCTCAGACTGCAGGAGCAGCAGCAGAGCTGGGGCCTTGCCCCAACTCACCTCGAGGCCCTTCGCTGCCTCACTTTGTTCATCTGTGAGGGGTGTGATGCCCATGCAGCCCCCTCCTGGTGATGGTGGGATACCAAGACAGGCAAGGGCTCCTTGGCCCCTCTCCCAACAGCCCTGATGCCTGGCCATGAGGCCCTAAGTGAGGGTTTCTACCTGGGTGGTGGCCATTCCCACTTCCACTTTACAGGCAAGGGCTCTGGCCCTGGGTGAGGTGGGGAAGGCCTTGAGTTCACACAGTGTCAGGCTGAGTGTGGGCCTTGGGTTAGATCCAGGCCTGTTCTGTCCCCCTGGCTGGCTGACAAAAGGGGACAAACGAGGCCAGAGGCTGGGGGGTCCTCAGGCAGTGAGGGCTCGGGTGAGTGGCTCCTGCCACTGGGCATGTTCCTGGGCTAGGTCTGTTGTGCGTGGGGGTCAGGCAGGCACTACAGCTCTGTTGTGTCCTGGGCTTTCTGGATCTGTGGGCAGGATGGTTGTATGGTCTACATTTGCATGTGAGACTGAGTGAGAGATCATGCAACTGTGTATGCCCAGGTCAGTGTGAAGTGTAGTTCGTGGTGCCCTTAGGGCTGGGAAGCTCCCTAAGACCCCCTCAAAGGTCCCAGACCCCTCCCCCAACTGGGGCGGGCTCCAGGCTTGGGCCTCACCCTGTCAGCCACCTTGTTCTCATCACTCATGCTCCCTGGCAATCACAGGCAGGGGTCTGCACCCTCACCCAGGCCATGCCCAGGCAGCAGAGCTGCACTCAGCTCCCAGCTGGCATCCCTGCAGCCTCCCAGGGGTCATCTGCCTGCAGCTTTAGAAGACTCAGGTACAAAGGAGACAAAGAAATGCATATTATTCTGTCCCATGCTTGTGCATTCTCTCATTCTCCATCTTTCTTCCTCTCCAGCTTAGATTCCAGTTTTTTGTTCCAGAACCCTCCTTTGGCAAGCAAGAAAGCCAAGTCGAGAGCCTCTGCTTCCCACTCTGTCCTTCTCCTAGACAGCTCACCCCACCTCCAGCCTCCGTCTCACCAGACCTGGGTCCGAGCAGCCTTTTTGACTCTCCACTGCACTGTCCCATAGCCATCCAAACGCTCCGTGTCCCAGACCAAACATGGCCTTCCCACCCCACCCAGCCTCACCTCAGAGACACTCTGTGCACCCTCCAGCTGCACCAACCCAACCCCAAGTTCACCTGGCTCCCCCCTCATCCCAGCCCCATCTAGCCCCTCACCAGGGCCAGCATGTTTTACCTCATCCTGAATGTGCCCACTGGACTCCATCACAGCATGGTCCCAGCCACACCACTGTCCCCGCTCCACTCTTTTCACATGGTGGCCTGAGCTGCCTTTTCTCCTGCTTCCTAAGAAGCCATGTGAGCCAGTGGTTGAGACCGTGGACACTCTGGAGCCAGACTGCCCAGGCTCAACTCCACCTACAAGCTCTGTGGGCCCATGTCCTCCTCTGCAAAGTGGGAAGAATAATCACACCCACTTCAGGAGGTTGTAGTGAGTTGAGTTCTGTGTGGCCTGGCAGTTCTGAACACAGGCCTTGCCGTCACAGGTCCCATTGCTTCCTCACTGTGGGCTCTCCGCTGAGGGATCTAACCTGAGATCAAGCCCTTCATCTATAAAATGTGAAGAACAGTTGCTGTCCTACTTATGTGAGAATCTAGTGTGATACTTCAGAAAAGCATTTAGCACCAAGCCTGGCACACAGTAAACATCTGGAAATGTGGAACAGTGACCAAAGTCCCATCCCTTTTATGTTTGATTGGGCTAGTCCCTGCCTGCCACCCTGGACACCTCTCATTTCACATGCCCTCAATCACTCTGCTGTAGCCATAGACTGTCCCTGAAGCCCCTCTTACTACCTGGCATTTGCACATGCTGTTCCACTTGCCAGCAATACTGTTCCCTCTTCCATGTGATCAGCTCCCTCTTATCCTTATCTTGGTTCAGGGTTACCTTGTCAGGAGAATCTTCCTGGACCTCCAATGCAGTGTTCACCCATCTGGGGTCATGCCCTGACCTTCACAGCTCTTCTTATTGGTGTGACTCTTTGTTTAAAGCCTGCATCCAGGATAGGCATGGTGGTTCATACCTGTAATCCCAACACTGGTAGGCTGAGGCAGGAGTAGTGCTTGGGGGCAAGGCGTTCAAGACCAGCCTGGGCAACTTAATGGGACCCTGTCTCTAGAAAAACTGAAAGCAATAGCCAGGTGTGGTGGCACACACCTGTGGTCTCAGCTGCTTGGGCAGCTGAGGTGGGAGGATTGCGTGAGCCTGAGAGCTCAAGGCTGCAGTGAGCTGTGATTATGTTACTGCACTCCAGCCTAAGCGACGGAACAAGACCCTGTCTCAAAAAACAAAAACAGAAAACAAAGTCTGTGTCCCCTACAACGCAGGGAACTTCATGAGAGCAGAGATCAGGTTGGCTTTCACTCCACTCTGCCAACCCTGAGTGCCCTGCATAGTGCTTGGCACATAACACATGCACAACTAATGCACAGCTAATATTTAAAGAATCAATAAATGAGAGACTAGTAGCCTGACACCCGCTCTGTGCCTGCACAGAGGTCAGGAACCCTGAGAGGGAGGCAGGACCTGGAACCTACCAGAGAAGGGGCAACCTCAGCTGACTTCTTGCCCGAGGCCCCAGAGACCAAGAGGGGTCAGGTGGGCAGGACTTGCTGCCAGCAGTCACCCAGACCACCTCACTCAGAGCAGACAGGCAGAGGCCTGTAGCAACGATGTTGGCAGTCATAACAGCTGCTTACCCAGGCCAGCCACTGTGCCCGGCTCTCCACCATTTCATGTAATGCCCAGGCCAGCCTTGGTAGGGGAGGTATCTACACTCACGGATGAGGAGACTAATGCTGAGGCTGCATGACTTGCTATGGGTCAGATCCAAGTGAGGAATGAGACCTGACCCAGAGCTCTGAGCCGCGGGCCTCCTCATCCCCTGGGCTAGAGCTGGGCTTGCCTCTCCGAGTGGCAGGTCTTCATCTGGACAATGGGGTTTTGCAGGTGAAAGATGCCTGCCTGCGGGCTTGAGGCATGACTTGGGCAAGTCCCTAGACAATGGTGGCCTCTCAGCCTTTCTTTTTTTTTTTTTTTTTTTTAGGAGAAAGAGAATAATATTTATTGGGCATGCCATACACCAAGTTAGATTTTTTTTTATTATTAATAGCACCAGTATCTCTGAACCTGATTTATTTTTTTATCTTTTTATTGCATTTTAGGTTTTGGGGTTCATGTGCAGAACATGCAAGACATCTGCATAGGTACACACATGGCAGTGTGTTTTGCTGCCTTCCTCCCCTTCACCCACATTTGGCATTCCTCTCAGCCTGTCTTCTGGACAGACAAGGCTCCCTGCTTGGGGCAGACAGAAAGTATGGCTCTGGGAGGTGCTCCTGGTTCTGAAGAGCCAGCCCTGCCCCACTTGTCCCCAGCAAGTCTTCTGACCTCTCTCTGCCTCACTTTCAACAAATGTTACGTGGCTGTGGGGGTGGAGTTGGATCTGGGACATCTCAGGCCCTGACATTCTTCCTGAGAGCCTGTCTAAAGTGGTGTTTCCACTCACTGTCTCCAATTTCTTTTTTTCCATTTTCACATTTACAGTGTTGTGGTGGGTGGGGACAGTGTCTCGCTCTGTCTCTCAGGCTGGAGTACAGTGGCGCAACCTCGCCTCCCGGCACCCTCCACCTCCCGGGTTTAAGTGATTCTCCTGCCTCAGCCACCACACTGTGCACGCCTTTAGCTGGGATTACAGGTGTGCACCACCACACCCAGCTGAGTTTTGTATTTTTTAGTAGAGATGGAGTTTCGCCATGTCGGCCAGGCTGGTCTTGAGTTCCTAGCTTCAAGTGATCCACCTGCCTCGGCCTCACAAAGTGCTTGGACTACAGGTGAGAACCTCCATGCCCAGCCACCATTTATACTTTTAAATGTGACATTTTTGTTTGTTTTTTGACTCAGAAATGCACTCATATGGATCAAAAATCAAACTAATGTAGAAAGATTTATAGGGAGATAACCATTCTCATTAATTTCTTGTGTAGCTTTTGTTGTATTTTTTTTTGAGACAGAGTCACTCTGTCACTCGAGCTGGAGTGCAGTGGCATAATCTCAGCTCACTACAACCTCCGCCTCCTGGGTTCAAGCAATTCTTATGGCTCAGCCTCCTGAGTAGCTGGAACTACAGACACACACCATCATGCCTGGCTAAATTGTGTATTTTAGTAGAGATGGGGTTTCATCGTGTTGCCCAGGCTGGTTTCAAACTCCTGAGCTCTGGCAATTTGCCCACCTCAGCCTCCCAAAGTGCTAGGATTATGGGCTTGAGCCTCCACACCCAGTGCTGAATTTCTTTTATTTGTTTTGACACAGGGTTTTGCTCTGTGTCAGAGTCTGGAGTGCAGTGGCGTGATCACGGCTCACTGCAGCCTCAAATCCTGGCTCAAGTGATTCTTCCACTTCAGCCTCTTGAGTATCTGGGCCTACAGGCACTTGCCAACACTCCCCACTAATATTTTAGTTAGTTTGTTTTTTAGAGACACGGTCTCATATTGCCTAAGCTGGTGTCAAACTACTGGGCTCCTCCCATTTCAGCCTCCCAAAGTGCTGGAATTACAGGCATGAGCCACAGCGCCCGGCCTAATGATTCTAAAATTAATATGGAAATGCAGAGAACTTAGAATAGCCAAAACAATGCTGAAGAAGAACAAGACTGGAGAGCCAACCACCACGAAGTCATCTCCTTTGAATATCCCATTCCTCATTGAGGGTGGCTCTCAGCAGCAAATAACTCATCAATCACTTTCTCCATATTGTTGTATATTAATTTCTCTCAACGAGGCAGTAAGCAACTTAAAAGCATATTCTAGTCACAAACACCTCTTCAGTAGTAAGGCATAGTGCTTAAAATCCAAGACTCTCCAGGCAGATGGGCTTCATGGCCCCGTTTCTGTATTTATTATCTAACTGACTCTGGCAACTTTCTTCTCTCTGGTTAGTTTCTCCATCTGCGACATGGGGCAGCAGTGATAACGGTGTCCACGTAGAGTGCCTATGGAGCTTAACTGAAATAAGAGTGCCTGGCACACAGTATCTACCTACTTAATTATTGTGTTTTGAATAAACTGACTCCCAGATCAGAAAGCAGGTAGTTACTGAGATTAGGTTGATTGGCACAGGTTAACCTTCACCTTTGACTATAAAAATTCATTCTGAAACACACTACAAGCTTTGGTTAAGTTTACTTAATTAGAGTGTTTGGAGCAACGTAGTAAGATACAGTAGTTGTAGTCAAAGTTATTTTTCAGAAAATGACTTGAGACTAGGCTGAAAGCCCTCAATCTAGTGTTAAGGAGCATCTCCTAATATACTGCCTGAATGTGTATTCCCCACTGGGACTCAAGCCCGGACAGATAGTCCAATAGACATTAAAAGGTTGCCTGTCAACGATATTGAGCCTTGGGCCCTGGCTCACGCCTGTAATCCCAATGACTGGCTAACTCAGGAGGATCCTTTGAGGTCAGGAACTGGAGACCAGCCTGGGCAACACAGCAAGACCTCCTCTCTACATAAAATAAAATAGCTGGGCATGGTGGCACACACCTGTGGTCCCAGCTACTCCGGAGGCTGAGGTGAGAGAATCGCTTGAGGCCAGGAGGTTGAAGTTGCAAGGAGCCGAGATCAAGCCACTGCACTCCAACCTGGGTGATAGAGTGAGACCTGACTCAATGAATGAATGAGAATGAATGAATGAATGAATGAAGATATTGAGTGTTTCCTGTTCCCGGAATTTCTGGTTTGTAAAACTACCTGGGGCCGAGCACAATGGTTCACGCCTATAATCCCAGCTCCTTGGGAGGCTGAGGTGGGCGGATCACCTGAGGTCAAGAGTTCAAGACCAGCCTGGCCAACATGGTGAAACCCCATCTCTACTTTAATAAAAATAAAAAAATTAGCTGGGTGTGGTGGCAGGTGCCTGTAGTCCCAGTCACTTGGGAGGCTGAGGCAGAAGAATCGCTTGAACCTGGGAGGTGGAGAGATGGCGCCATTGCACTTCAACCTGGGAGACAGAGGGAGACTCTGTCTCAAAACACACACACACACCCCCGGCAGTGGGTATTATGGCAGAAGAAACTAAGGCTTTGCGAGGTTCCCGACGGGGAGTCCGCAGCGCGGTGGGGGCGGGGGCGGCCAGACCTCGCGCCTCTGGGCTGTGCTCCTGAGCTCCCGCAGCCCGCGGTCCCAGCGAGGCCTGGGCGTGGAGCGCGGCAGCCGCAGACCCCCGGGAAGACAGGGATTCAGGGTCCTCAGGTGTTTTTAGGCTCCTGCTCGCCTAGTGACCGAGGGGCTGGCTTTCTCCAGGCCGAGAAGTGTCTCCGGGTTCCCAGAAAGGTACCTAACCGGTTAGAAAAGAGGAGACCCAGCCCGGCGCGGTGGCTCACGCCTGTAATCCCAGCACTTTGGGAGGCCCCGGCGGGCGAATCACGAGGTCAGCAGTTCGAGACCAGCCTGACCAACATGGAGAAACCCCGTCTCTACTAAAAATACAAAATTAGCTGGGCGTGGTGGTGTATGCCTATAATCCCAGCTGCTCTGGAGGCTGAGGCAGGAGAACTGCTTGGACCCAGGAGGCAGAGGTTGCAGCGAGCTGAGACCACACCATTGCACTCCAGCCTGGGTGACAGAGCGAGACTCCATCACAATCGGAAACGGAAAGGGGAAGGGGAAGCGGAAGGGAAAGCGAAGGGAGACCAGGGGGATGAGGGGAAGAGGCCGGCGCTGCCCGGGCCCCGCGCGTGAAGGAAACAGCCCGAGGCCCCGCGGGTCCGGCCCTGAGAGGAAGGAGGGCGCCTGCGCTCCCGCGGGGGCCGGCGGACTTTCCTCCCCGCCCAGCGGCCCGGGGCGGGCTTTTCGGCTGCTCCTCATAAGCAGGCGGCTTCGGGTCTCCGGGACAGGTGGGTGCGGAGCGCAGCCGCGTCGTGCTGGGCGTTCGGGGCCTGCGCGGACCTCGCCGCCGCCGCCGCAAAACCTGCCCCGCGCCCGCGATGTCCCGGCAGCTCCGCGCGGCGGCCGCGCTCTTGGCGTCCCTGGCGGGTGAGTGGCGCGGGGCTTCCCGCGGTGGCCCTGCCGGGTGGGTCCCCTTCAGCTAACGCGCCCTGGAGCCGCCGCGCTACAGGACGGCCTGCGGGTGGGGACACGGGGCGCGGCTAAGGGCGTCGCGGCTGGACCCTGTTTTCCCTGAGTTACTCAGAGCAGGTGTCAACTCCAAAGACGGTAACATTGTCCCTCGCTCCCAACAGGGTTCTGGGCGCCTTCTCAGGGATTGGATTTGAGAGATGGACACCTGAGCCAGGGCTTGGGAATGGGGGTCTTGGCTTTGGTGCCCCGGAAAAGCGGTCCTGAGGTGCCTTCCTCCACATCACATGGGGTCTGACAGATTGTGCCATTTCAGAAAGGTGTAGGACAGAGTCTCAAAGACTTTTTTAAATTTATTTTTATTTATTTTATTATTATTGTTATATTATTATTTTGAGACAGAGTCTCACTCTGTCGCCCAGGCTGGAGTGCAATGGTGTGGTCTCAGCTCACTGCAACCTCTGCCTCCTGGGTTCAAGCAATTCTCCTGCCTCAGCCTCCCGAGCAGCTGTCGGGACCACAGGTGTGCCCCACTACACCCGGCTTTTTTTTTTTCTTTTAGTAGAGTCAAGGTTTCACCGTGTTGGCTAGGCTGGTCTCGAACCCTTGACCTCAGGTGATCCACCTGCTTCGGACTCCCAAAGTGCTGGCATTACAGGCTTGAAATGCCATTGCATCCAGTTTTTTTGTTTGTTTGTTTGTTTTTGTTTTTTTGATGATCATTGTACTTCCCATCCCAGATGCTGTCTGGGACGCTGAGTTTTTGCTTATTTTATGTTCCGACCCTCCACTTTCACCAGAGCTTGTCCCCTTAGACGTTGAGTCCTCCTGGGTGCTGCGGTTCTGTTCCTGTGAGGAGGCTTACTGGTCATGAGAGAACTGCCTCCGTCCGCACCGCCCAGCTAACTGGCTCAGGCAGGGTGTGCGGTGGCCCTTGCTTGTAACGTGAATGCCAGGGATGTTACGGAAGCGGTGGGAAGGGTCACGCCAGCTGTCCTCACTGAGGCAGTTCTCCCTGTGCCACGCTTTCAGACTTACAGTTTCAGGTTCCCTTAGGAAACAGAAGAGGAAGTCATCATTATGCTTCACAGGGCAAGCTATTAAACAAGCAGAAAATCTCAGCCTCGCGGTAACCCACAGAGACCGGTCTGTGAGCGTTGGTTGGATGGATGGATAGGTTCAGAAACTGATTTATGTAGACAGGCCAAGTGAGGTGGCTCAGCCTGCAATCCCAGCACTTTGGGAGGCCGAGGCGGGTGGATCACTTGAGGTCAGGAGTTCAAGACTAGCCCCGCCAACACGGTGAAACCATGTCTCTACTAAAAATACAAAAATTAGTTGGGCATGGTGGTGTGCACCTATAATTCCCAGCTACTTGGGAGGCTGAGGCAGGAGAATTGCTTGAACCTGGGAGGCAGAGGTTGCAGTGAGCCGAGATCATGCCAATGCACCCTTAACCTGGTGACAGAGTGAAACTCTGTCTCAAAAAATAAATAAATAAATATATAAAAATAAAAACACAGTGAGTATTGACAACCACAAGGGCAATTGGAGGGACAACGCCCACATAACCCATTCCTTTCTGAGCTGCTAATTCTCAGAGGTGAGCTGGGTGAAGGGTGCATGAGAGGTTTCTTCCTCAGAGGTGTGCTAGGTCCCAAGGCAGGTCAGTGTTGCATGGCCATCGTGGGGTCGCACGGAACTGGATTCAAAGCCTTGCCCTGACCCTTACTGGCAGGGAGGCCTTGTTCATGTCACCCAAGCTTTCAGGTGCTCAGTTCTCTCACTGAAAAATTGGGAGAATAATATCCTCTGCCCGGAGCACGCGGGAAACAAATGAGGTGGTGCCTGGAAAGCAGCTGTGGCGATTTTCTCAGTGATGTCAACCCGCTTCTCCTGGGGGTCTCCAGTCCCTCTCCCCATTCACCTCTCAGCCTCCTGCCCGTGAGTCCCTTCCAGCTCCTGCAGTGATTTTCTCGGTGAGGTCAACCCGCTTCTCCTGGGTGTCTCCAGTCCCTCTCCCCATTCACCTCTCAGCCTCCTGCCCATGAGTCCCTTCCAGCTCCTGCAGTGATTTTCTCAGTGAGGTCAACCCGCTTCTCCTGTGTCTCTCCAGTCCCTCTCCGCATTCACCTCTCAGCCTCCTGCCTGTGGGTCCCTTCTTCACTCAGTACAGGCTCATCAGCACACAGTAATAGCAATGATGGCCATGGCTGACTGGCACTTTCTAGGTGCCAGGCTCTGTTCTCAGTGCTTTCATCCACAGAACAGCTTTGTAAGTTCTGCTAGCATCTCCACTTGACTTGTGAGGAAGCAGAAGCACAAAGAGGTTAAATAACTTGCCCATGGTCGCATAGCTAGCTAGTGACAGAGTCGAGCTTCGAACCAGAGTCTGTGCCCACAGCAGCTAACCCGTGTGCTTTATTCATGCACCTACTTACCTATAACTTATTTAGTCTCTTAAGAACCCTGAGAAGTAGATGCTATTCTTATCCCCATTTTACAGATGAGGGTACTGAGGCACAGGCAGGTTAGGGAATTGTTCATGGTCTCCCAGTTAGTGAGTAGCATTTCTTGACCGGCATTCAAGACGTCTGGCTTTGGCTGTGTGCAGTGACTCATGCCTGTGATCTCAGCACTTCGGGACTCTGAGGCGGAAGGTCGCTTGAGGCCAGGAGTTTGAGACCAGCCTGGACAACATAGTAGACTGTGTCTCAAGCAAAACAAAACAAAAACCAAGTCTGGCCTTGGGGTTCAGGCTCTGTACTGCATGCAGGCCCCAGAAATACTTGTCAAATTGGAAATGAGAAAAATCATCAGAAAGTTGTTGTTGTTGTTTTGAGATGGAGTTTCACTCTTGTTGCCCAGGCTGGAGTGCAGTGGCGCGATCTTGGCTCACTGCAACCTTCGCCTCCCGGGCTCAAGTGATTCTCTGGCCTCAGCCTCCTGAGTTGCTGGGATTACAGACACCCACCACCAAGCCCGGCTAATTTTGTATTTTTAGTAGAGATGGGGTTTCTCCATGTTGGTCAGGCTGGTCTCAAACTCCAGACCTCAGGCGATTCACCTGCCTTGGCCTCCCAAAGTGCTGGGATTACAGGCATGAGCCACTACGCCTGGCCAAATCATCAGAAAGTTTTGCTAGGAGAGACAGAACTTTTGGGTAAACTCTCTGAGTAATCTTTATCCAGTTAACTTGCTTCCCTGATCTCAAATTTTTCCCCCAGAAAATGGGGGGATTTAAGTTCATATCAGTTAAGTGTACGTTCAGTTACATGTAAGAGACAAGCCCAGAATAATAGTAGATTAAACAAGAGAGTTGCTTGTCACACTCTCACATGAAAACATTTCCAGAGAAATTCAGTGTGGGGTGCTCCACTGGGGACCTGTCATACTATATGTCAGTGTGGGGGTGCTCCACTGAGGACCCGCCATTCTATATGTGAATGTGGAGGTGCTCCACTGGGGATCCACCACCCTATATGTGAGTGTGGGGGTGCTCCACTGGGGACCCGCCATCCTATATGTGAGTGTGGGGGTGCTCCACTGGGGACCCGCCATCCTATATGTGAGTGTGGGGGTGCTCCACTGGGGACCCGCCATCCTATATGTGAGTGCGGGGGTGCTCCACTGGGGACCCGCCATCCTATATGTGAGTGTGGGGGTGCTCCACTGGGGACCCGCCATCCTATATGTGAGTGCGGGGATGCTCCACTGGGGCCCATCATCCTGTATGTGAGTGTGGGGGTGCTCCACTGGGGACCCACCATCCTATGTGTGAGTGTGGGGGTGCTCCACTGGGGACCCACCATCCTATATGTGAGTGTGGGGGTGCTCCACTGGGGACCCACCATCCTATATGTGAGTGTGGGGGTGCTCCACTGGGGACCCACCATCCTATATGTGAGTGTGGGGGTGCTCCACTGGGGACCTGCTATCCTATATGTGAGTGTGGGGGTGCTTCACTGAGGACCCGCTATCCTATATGTGAGTGTGGTGGTGCTCCACTGGGGACCCGCTATCGTATATGTGAGTGTGGGGGTGCTTCACTGCGGACCCGCCATCCTGTATGTAACTTCTACCTTCAAGTCTCCTAATGGTTCCACATGTCTGCTGAAGCTCCAGCTGTCACATACAAGTTGCAGACTGGCCAAAGGAGGAAAAACAGAAGGGCTGTAGAAGGCGGGCCACACAGGCGCTTGAGCTGCCTTCTCCCAGCCTTCCCAGAAGGCCCACAGGAGCTTATCACTTCTCTTGCTTTTGCTGAACCTCAGTCACATGCTCCCACCCAGCCAGAAAGGAAGCTTAGACATAGAGCTCTTTATTCCAGGCAGCAAATGCTCAGCGGAAGCTTGAGGCTCTGTTAGAAAGAAGGGGAGGCTGAATTTGGGAAGAGTCGGCCAGCAGGCTGTCGCAGGGCTAGAACGCTTTCTGCTGTAGGGTTTCCTCTGCTGTCTCTGCTGCAGTCTGCTGGGACTGCTTCTGCTGCCCCCATAGGTGCCAGAAAAGGTGCTGGGGGCTAAAGTGTGGTTTCCTGAACCTGGATGTGGCCATGGGGCTCTTATTACTCGCTGACTGTGCTCCGCAGAGCTCTGCAGACACAGTGCAGTCTCTGAGGCCCACCAGGCTTGCTCCCTGCTGACCTCCCCTCCTTACCCCTCCTTCCCCATACTGTCCCTGTGTTCCCATGGTGCTGACCCCCTTGCTGTTCTTCAGACATGCAAGTCTTCTGAATCCTCTGCACCTTTACCCACCCTCCCCTTTCTGGAAACCATCTCCTCTCTTGTCTGCCTGAAGAATTTATCCTTGTGTTGGATTCCCACCCTATCCACACTCTCATAGTATCTGGAGCACATTTGTCAGTCGGGCACTGCGGTCTCTGTCTGTAATCCCGGGGATTACAGGGAGTCTGAGGCAGGCAGATTGCTTCAGCCTAGGAGTTTGTTCGGCCTGGGCAACATGGTGAAACTCTGTACAAAAAAATGCAAAGATCAGCTTGGTGTGGTGGCACATGCCTGTAGTCCCAGCTACTAGGGAGGCTGAGGTGGGAGGATCGCTTGAACCCAGGAAGCTGGGGCTACAGTGAGCCCTGAGCATGCCACTGCATTCCATCCTGGGAGAAAAACTTATCACACTTCTGTGTCTACCTCACAGGGCCCCTGAGAACAAAGACCTACCCCACAGTGCCTGGTGTGGGGCCTGCCTGAGAGGGGAACCCCTACATACTGTTGAGTGGTGTGGCAGGGAACTAACCAAAGGCTGTGTGGGAAGGGACTGGCTGTCAGGAAAATACCTGGGAAAGGTCCCTTGTGAGATCACTGACCTTCCCAGGGGACTGGGCAATGACTCATCTCACACCCGCCGGTTGGAGGTGAACCAAAACCCCCCAATGCCTCTTCATGCAAATTTCCATCTAGTGGAGTCCAAGCAATGGGTCAAGGGCCTGGGGTGCTTGTTTGCTGAGTCTCCTGAATTCTAGAGAAGACAGGCTAGGGTGGGATGGGGTGGGTGGGGGCGGGCAGAGGACTGTGTGAACACCAGCGTACGTTCTGCAAATAGAGGGAGGGTCGAGACAGAGTCGTCGAGACAGAGTCTGAGCTACACCTGCCTTTGCTTCTTTTTTTTTTTCTTAGACAGAGTCTCTCTCTGTCGCCAGGCTGGAATTCAGTGGTGCAATCTCAGCTCACTGCAACCTCCACCTCCTGGGTTCAAATGATTCTCCTGCCTCAGCCTCCCAAGTAGCTGGAACTACAGGCATGTACCACCATGCCTGGCTAATTATTGTATTTTTAGTAGAGACGGGGTTTCACCATGTTAGCCAAGATGGTCTCGATCTTTTGACCTCATGATCCACCCTCCTGGGCCTCCCAAAGTGCGGGATTACAGGCCACCCACCACCCTTTTTCTAGGACTCAGAAAGACCTGTGACCTTGATTAAACCTCTACAGGGCCAAGCATCTCTTTTAAAAACTGTGACCCAATTGTGACAGAAATCAGTCATATATGTGTGGTCATGTACATAGGCCGTGTGTGTGGTCATGTACATAGGCCATGTGTGTGGTCGTGTACATAGACCGTGTGTGTGGTCATGTACATAGGTCATGTTTGTGGTCATGTACATAGGCCGTGTGTGTGGTCATGTACATAGAGTGGCTCATACGGGCTTTCTGAGCTACTTTACAATGCAGAGCAGCCCTACCCCAGTCGAATCACCTGCCCATCTGTTTTCCACCACACTCCTACAGGGAGAGGAGGAGAGGCGGGGAGGGCCAGTAGAGGGAAGGAGAAGGGGTGAGAACTAAACTCCTCTGACAGGTTCAGTCTGTAACATCTGTGAACTTGGCACTTGTGGTTGAGCCATCTGCCAGCCCAGCCTTCTGTCCACCACCCAGAGACATACCTACACCTACACACACCAGACATCTCAACTGCCATCACCTCCAGCCACCCCACCAACGCTTCCTACATAGCAGGTACACCTTGACCAGGTACCACATGTCTTCTTGACCGGTTTAGGATGCTGTTCACTTGTGAACAACTAAGTACTTCTTTTATTTATTTGAGTTCACTCATTACCACGAAAGAAGAGTCCTAGTTTCATCTTGAGGAAGACTTTTTTTTCTTTTTTTCTTTCTTTTTTTTTTTTTTGAAGACAGGGTTTCACCATGTTGGTCAGAATGGTCTTGAACTCCTGACCTCAGGTGATCCACCTGCCTTGGCCTCCAAAGTGCTTGGATTACAGGCATGAGCCGCCACGCCCGGCCTGCCTTTTTTTTTCAACGGGTGCACTACTCAGTTTAGGAAATTGTACTCAGTTGAGAAGATTCTCTATTGCTTATAAATACCAGCCATACCCAGTAGGATTTTAGCAGAGATATGATCACCTCTCTAAGGGAACGACTCGCTAGTGATTTCTAGTCTCCTGGAGTTCTCCGAAGCCATCTTTATTTTTCACCACGAGTTAGTCCTGGAAGACACATTTGAGAGTGAATTCTCTTTCTCCATAGCAATAGTATGAACCTAAAGAGACTCTTCGTGTTCGACGAAGAATTATGAGGGCGAACAACAGAAAATCAAATACCATAGATTCCACACTCTGAGTGACATATGCAGGCAAGGGATATCATGTATGAACAGACTACAGAGAGGAAAATAAAACAAATCGTTTCACTGCTCATCCTCAGTATTTTTCAAATCTGAGGTTTCAGAATGTATAACAGTTTAGGGAACTGGTGAGTAAAGATTTCTTGTAACCGAGCTAATGATCAGTGAAACAGCCTTCTTCAGAATCCACTATGCTAGCCTCCTGCTTTTGCCATTTATCCAGTACTATTAAATACATTTCCAAAATGTATTTTCTTTGTTCTTCTAGTTTTGGTAGCTTTTCAATGCCTTTAGCATTGTACTGTAGAGTCAAAGTAATAGTGACATTTACTTAATCACCCTCTTTTTGGGTGCAGGCTCCATGAAGGCAGGTATAGTTGCATATTGAATTCAGAATTTCATCACTGGTATCTCCGAAAGCACCTGGCACTCAGTAAAGAGTGGAGTGATCAGCACAGTGATTCTCCTCTCCCTTCTCATCTCTTTAACTCTTCCACCCTCCAGCCTTCAGGTGATCCCAGTGCTGTCTCTTACCTGGTGTTCTTCAGCTGCCCCTTCAATGGGACAGTGTTTGTGAGCCCCGTGCTCCTGAGAGTTAGAGCACAGCGAGCAGAGCAGACTCTTGTCCGTGCCACAGAACATCTTCTTTGTTTCCCTATGGGTCCCACATACTTGTTTCTCAGAGCTCAGGAATTGCCAGAGACTGGCTTTCCCAGCAGTCGTCACTAAATTCTACAGAAAAATGTTCGTTTTGAAATCCTTTTGGTGTGATGGTTCCCTGCATGCAGGGCAGTTGGAAGGACTTTGGGCTCCATCCCAGGAAAGGCAGAGACAGGGTCTACAGGAGCTGTGCCCACAGCCTATGTGACAGGGTCTACCAGGTAGTTCAGGCAGATGACACAGGTGAGTTCCTTCTGGAAGGCCTGTGGGAAGTCTAAGTCCATCTTCCTAAGGGAAGAAAACCACACGAATTTAATCTTCTACCCTGGAGAGACAAAGGACCAAGCAAAACTTGAATCAGGTTGTGATTGAATAACATCCTTTTTTTCCTAGAGAAAAATAGGCTTTCATCTGCAAGGACAGAAATAGAAAAAGTAGAAAACTAAGGCACTAAGAGACATCAACCTGTGTAGAAAAATGTGATTGTTCTCCAACCGACACACAAGCAGCTTTCCAAACCCTACTTTTGTGCTTAGAAGAATGTCCGATTTTTTGAGGTGTGTGTTAGTGTCCACCAAGTTACCTGGGCTTCTGGGATATCATCAACCCATAAACTCATGGGATGAGTCTTGAATGGTCTGAAACTCAGCCACACTCTCAATTGCCAGTGATTGGTTTGGAGAAGGGAAACTAAGCTCTTCTACTCTCACTGTTTGATTTAACTGTAACAACCATCCATCAGAGTTTTCCAGAGGGCCCCTGCTTGAAAATGTTAGAGCAGAGCTCATCCATTGACCAAAATCAGACAAAGCTAGCCTTTACTCCCCAAGGCAAAACAAACAAACCAAGGCCTAGGCACTTCTCCAAGGTAAAACAAGCAATCATTGTTTTACTAGGCTGCTGAGTTCATTCAATCAACAAAACCTTTCTGGCATGTGTTTACTATTCCTGGACTGTCTGTTAATTTGGGGCTATATTGATACAATGCAGAAGGGTACACAGAGGATAGAAATATTTTCTAAGCTCTTTGGAAGTATTGTCATTACTCTTTCACAGAGTCAGAAAAATACTAAGTATCATGCAATAATAATAGGCTCTAGACAGTAAGGTGGTGTTTTAAAGGGAAGGAAAAAAAAATGTGGGCCAGGCAAGGTAGCTGAAACCTGTAATCCCAGCATTTTGGGAGACCAAGTCAGGCAGATATTTTGAGCTCAGGAGTTCTAGATTGGGCGACATGATGGCAAAGTTTCTAGATCAGCCTGTCTCTAAAAATACACACACATGGGCGGGTGTGGTGGCTCATGCCTGTAATCCAAGCACTTTGGAGGCCAAGGCAGGCAGATCACCTGAGGTTGGGAGTTCAAGACCAGCCTGACCAACATGGTGAAACCCTATCTTAAAACACAGACACACACACATATATATTATAGATTATATATGTAAAGCCCAACATGGTGGCCCATGTGTATAGTCCCAGCTACTTTGGGGGATGAGGCAGAAGAATTGCTTGGGGTATTAAGTATAGGCCATAGTGAGGCTTATTTCCACCACTGCACTCCAGCCTGTGTGTCCCTGTCTAAAACAAAGAAACAAAGGAAAAATCTAAAATCCTGGTTTCTACACAGTATAAATACAGAAGCCCTCCATTTCTGACATTTCTGCATGATTGCCAGTGAGACTTTTCTGCATGAGTACCCATTTCTGGCTTTCTTCGACAGAGTGACTGAGGTTTCTGAAGAGACTTTTACTGTGTTTTAGAAAAAAGTGCTTGCCCAAATCATTCAATGCCCTCTACCTGTGTATAGCCATACGTGGCAACACAGGCACATTTTCACTAGCAGAGCAGAATGTAACACATTTATACACATAGATTACAACAGCCCTAACCCATTTACAGAGTCTACAGAGATGAAAGAATCGCCAGATATTTGTAAACTACTGCAAAATGCTTATAATCTATAAAACAGCTAAGAAATACATTAAGTAAAAAATCAACCATAACGTTAATTTGAACATCATGAAGCAAGACAGATGACAAAAATGTTTAATTTTTAAATAGGTTGAATGGAGCTTGTAAACCTATGGATTATGTTTAAAATAATTTTAAGAAATAAATGGAGCTGTTTTCAAAACTCAGAAAATGACATCATTTCATCTAAAAAAAATCTAAGTTTGCAGATAAAGTCCCCAAATTTTGTTTGTTTTGATATGTAACCTAAGAGCAGCTCCTACTCTGGAAAGTGTACACTTACCTCAGAAATAGATCTACATTCTCGCCAAGGCTTGCTGTCCAATAAGATGAAGTCAGCTCAGGCATCAGGGTCTCACAGTGCAGTGGCGGTAGCTTGTGGAAGTCTCCAAGGCCAGTTGCAAAGCCACTCTGTGGTTTCTGGAGAAGAATGAGTTTTGCTCCTGAAGTGTCCTTTTATACATCTCTGAAGACCACACCCCTTTCTTCTAATTGGATTTCAGGGGGCATAGGTGGGTGTTAACATAGTTAAGATTCTTTCAAACAATTTTTTTTTTTAATGGAGTTTCACTGTGTCGCCCAGGCTGGAGTACAGAGAAGCTGTCGCAGCTCACTGAAACCTCCACCTCTGAAGTTCAAGCAATTCTCCTGCCTCAGCCTCCCAAGTAGCTGGGATTACAGGTGCCTGCAGCCAGGCCTGGCTAATTTCTTTTCTTTTTTTTTGCAATTTTAGCCGAGAGGGGGTTTCACCGTGTTGGCTAGATTTATCTGGAATTCCTGACCTCAAGTGATCCGCCTGTCTTGGCCTACGAAAGTGCTGAGATTACAGCCTGAGCCACAGCCCCCAGCAATTCACTTTTATCGTAATGTAAGAATTTAATCTAAGGACACTCCTGGCCTCCCCACTCCAGAAGGGTTATTTTTCCTGCTCCTTGTGCTCCAGATGAAGCCTTCCAAGAGCCTCTCAGCAGCCATGGGACATAGGATTCCCTCCTATATTACCTGGCACTGCTCATCCCAGCTCAAGGGATATAGGGAGAAAGTCTAGAAAGCTCTAGCAAGGTGCAGTGGCAGGCTCCTGAAGTCCCAGCTACTGTGGAGGCTGAGGCAGGAAAATCGCTTGTGCCTGAGGTGGAGGTTGCAGTGAGCCGAGATCGTGCCCCTGCAATCCAGCCTAGGTGATATAGTGAGATTCTGTCTCCAAGAAAACATAAATCAATAAAGAAATATAAAAAATAAAAATTGATGATTAGAAATACAATGTAAGATCTTTATGACAAAATACAAAGTAAGCAGAAAGAATAGAAAATTGTAAATAGAATTTGATTACTTTAACAAATATAGAAAAAAATTAAAGGGATTTAATCAATTAGTATAATAATTGTGTTGTCTTTAGGGAAATATTGGGAGAATTGTTTCCTTATTGTTTATAATTCTTTCCAATATTTTGTGGGTAAGAAGTCAATAACAAGAATAACAATTTCAGTAGATTCAAACACAGTGTATTCCATGAAGCTGATTTTCTAACTTTAACAGAAAAATGATGTTTTCCCTCCTTGACAAGATGCCTCATCATCAGAAATATGGTTTGTTTAGAACACACAGCTTTTCGTCCTTGAGTATTTCTGTATTTGTTTCATTTTCTCCAAATGATGGTAAAGATCCAGTCTGAGTCTCTATTTGATGCTTACAATTCCTGAAACAACTGAGCAGTGCATTGCACTTAATAATTTCCCACTAAGTAAATTAAACTGAATGTTGCATTTCCAACCAAAACTGTGAAACCAAAGGAAGAACTATGTCTTCATCCTTCTTTTCTTGTATCATTTCTTTCCCCTGTAACAAAGGATACAGGGTGTTAACACAAGGTACAGAGAAAGAGAATGTGTGTATGTGTGTGTGTGTACATGCATTTACATATGTGTAACCACATCGATTTTTGTATTTGCAGCAATGCCTTGTGATTTTGATTCAGAAGCCCACAGCATTTTATTAAAATTATGTTTCATTTGATTGTCTCATCTGTTTATGGGAGCTGCTAACAGGGATTCTGTGTTTCATTTACCATATACTATTACAAAATCTGAGCTCATGATACTAAATTCATAAATATTGAACACAGCCAAAATTCAAATTATTGGGCTTTTAGGTATTTCTATTTTTCCTTTGTCAACAGGGTACAACTGAAATAACAATATGGACTTCCTATTTCATTCTAAAACTAGTATTGATTTAGGCAAGTTAGTTAACTCCTGACCTTTTGTTATCTCAACTATGAAATGGGGCTTCTACCCTGCCCAACTGGCAGAATTGCTCTGAAGATTAAAAATCACATGTTGTGTAAATATTCAAAACGGTAATTGGCTCATAGAAAGTGATCAGCCAGTTGTAAATGCTAACTGTTAGTAAAACTAAATTACAAAATGAAAGAGATAAATTAATGAGTAAAATAATTACTGCTTTCTTAATGTAGTGATTGTTCTCATCAGTTAATTAAGTTGTGACAGAATTGGTATGTTGAATTCAGTGACTCAGGGTTCATCTACTCAGGGCTGTGGATACACTTTCGGTTATGTTGAATCACTCTGATTGCAATAGCAACCCCATCACTCCTTTTGGAATGTGAGTTCTGAGAAGGTGTTTACATCATAGCAGGCAGCCAAATATTGTAGAAAGACTAAAATAAACACTGTGTCGTGTGTTAGCTTTAAAAATAAGAATATTATTAGTTAACATTTGGTAAATATTTCTAATTTGTCGGGCATCTTACTAAACATTGGTAGGTTATCTTATTTTAATATTGATAATACTTCTGTGAGTAGATTACTAGGATACCTGGGTGAAGAAAGTCCTGTCTGCATTTGCATACCTGGGGTTATCAGTTATTGATTATTCTGGCATAAATAATCATCACTATCATTTTTCCCATTGGCACATGCAGCTGTTCCTGTGCTTTCATAAGCCTCAGCACAATAGTATTTTATAAGACTTAAAAATATGGTACCTATGTATGCTATTGTTCTTAATTTGCATATTATAGGATCTTAAAATATACATTGAATGCTTGAAAAATAGTGACTTGAATTGTACAGGTCTACTTAGGCACATTATTTATTAAAACTAAATACAGTCAGCCCTTTCTGTTGATTTTGCATCAGCAAGTAAAAATGGATAGAAAATACAGTATTATTCACCGTAATCCCAGGTACTTAGGAAATCGAGAAAGGAGGATTGTTTGAGCCCAGGAGTTTGAGGCTGTCGTGAGGTGTGAGCAAGCCTCTGCAATCCAGCCTGGTGAGAGACTCTTTAAGAAAACAAAACAAAATACAGTATTGAAAGAAAGGAATCACATATGCGAATGGCCACCTCTTTACTTTTAAAGATGGTGAACTATGACTTGCCAAATTATTTTTTTGTTTTCAAACTTATATTTTTAAATATTAGTATTGCATACAGAAAATGATTTTACTAAAAATATCACAAAGTAGAAAAGATATCAATCCAGTAAAAAGGCTTTTAAGTGAGGGAATTTATTTCTATGGAACAGATCTCAACAATTATTTTTTGTTCAGCTTTGTTATGTTACAACTTTCATCACAGAATGATACTCAGGACATGAGCTTGAATCTGAGAAGCTCAGATGTAGCTAATAAAGAACTAACGAAAAATGTAAGGTAAGAGAATTATTAATGTGTTTCTAAAAACAAAACGAAGTAAAACAAAACTGTTACATTCCATTTGGACTCTTAGACACGGTTTCTGGAATTGTTTTCTGTTTTATATTATTGCCTACTTCACTGTCTTAACAATGTGAAGACCAGGGTGTCAAAGGGCATGAAGCATGTGGTGAGAGTTGTGTTATGCCACTTAGCCCAAGGGGATCAGGTGCGGCTTCAGATTCCACATACTCAGCTACATTTCCTCACTGAGGAACAGCAACGTAATCCAGAAAGTCTTAGTCGACTCTGAGAGTGCTGTGCTTAAATTATTCTGAAAATCACCTGAAAAGATGAAATATCAAATAATTTTGACTGCCGTCTGGATTATTATACTGATATATCCATTTCATCTGTTGAGTGGTTTGTTCACTGTCCGCCTGTTAATTCCACAGAAGAGGAGGGCCAACTTTTCATATATACGTGTCTTTTCTGCAGGACTTGAGTATGCACAAATTTTGATATCTATCGAAGTCCTGGGACCAATCCCCAGAGATGGCTGATTAAATTCAGTTTTGTTCTGAAATTCTATTTTGTGTATGGAAATACATTTTCATGAAGTTAAAACTATATTCACCTTATTTCTCATTCCAATCTGTTTGAGAAATTAATGATCACCTGATGTTTATGTTTCTGTAATGAGCATTTATCGATCTTCAGGGTTCTCAGATATGCTTTTTTATAGGTAGGAAAAGAAAACATAAGTCCCTCTTAGAATGTCAATTTTCCTCTTTTTTTGTACCGTGGAAAAATATCATAGTTGATTTCTTGCAAGCCATTAGAACATTTCAAAATATATGAAGTAAATGATAAATATAATACATTGTCATGCAATGTAAGATAATTTTTGCATATCTTTATTTTCAGTGTCTTTCTGTTTCTTATTTTAAAATAATGGATATTTTAGAAAACGTAAAGATCAAGTAAGCCACAGTAGAAATTAAGTATCTCCCTAGTTCCATCAGAAAAATATAAAATCATGGTTATATTCTTATGTGTATAATTCTAGCCCCTTTCCTATTTTAAATATATTTTTGTTTATGTATACACAAAACCCAGTCAATCCTTCTATATGTAATGTATATAATCAACATATATTTATTCTTTCCTATGTTCGGTATTTAGAGGTGCTTTTCCTCCTACACCTTGACTATTCCTTTTTTTTCTGCCAAACATTGACTACCTGCAGGTTGATCTTATATGTATTGCAGAAGGGGTTAGGTCATTGGACAGCCAGAAATGGCTCTGTCTTTCTGTCCAGGGATTATCAGAGGGTCGGGCTCAGGAATAAGAGGATGTTTTAGGAATTTTGATTGGTTGGGCAATGGCAGGATATGTTCAACTTACCCATCGCCCTCGCTTATTTCATGGTTGTTCTTAAGCTACAGGTTCTCACACTGTCTCTCAAGCTGGAGGTCAGTGGTGCAATCTTAGCTCACTGCAGCCTCAAACACCTGGGCTCAATCAATATTCCCACCTCAGGCTCCAAAATCACTAGGATTAGTCATGTGCCACAATGCTCAGCTAATATTTGTACTTTTATTTTTCGAGATAGGCTGTCCCTATGTTGCCGAGGATGGTCTCCAACTCCTGGCCTCAAGCAATCCTCCCACCTCAGCCTCCCAAATTTATGGGATTAAAAGCATGAGCTACCACTCTGGAGCTTATTTAGCTATTTCAGAGTTTGTTCCTCTCTTTCTGGTCTATTGCATGAACTCTCTTAGCTTGTTTTATAAAATATTCTTCTGCCGTGGTCATGTGAAACATTACCAAATTGTTTCTGCTGATTCTTTACATTTTAAGTTAAGTATTCAAACATGATAGTGTGACTTTTTAAAAAAGAACAACAACAAAAAACCAATAGAAGTTTGGCTAATCAGAAACAAGACTTCAATGACCACTGCTGTGCTATAACTTATTATAATGCATTAAAAATCAGGACTTACTTGTAATGTGCCTTGAGACAGAAAATTCAGTCACTTGATTTCTCAGACCTCAGTTTTCTCCTCTGTGAAATACTAATACCAACTGTGTGTAGTTTATTTTGAAGAATTTGGAAATTGTAACTAAATACTCTGGTATCAAGCATGATTGCTGTGTTTCCTATATTGTTGTTACTTTTGTAGCACTGAACCACTTACCCATTTAAGTTTTTGCTCAAAGTGAAAATATAATTTATTAATACATATTTCATAGACTAGCATTTTGTTTTGAGACCAAGTCTCTCTCTGTAGCTCAGGCTGGAGTTCAGTGGTGTGACTGCGGCTCACCGCAACCTCTGCCTGCTGGGTTCAAGCAATTCTCCCGCCTCCTGAGTGGCTGGGACTACAGTTGTGCACCACCATGCCTGGCTAATTGTTTGTATTTTTAGTAGATTTGGGGTTTCACCATGCTTTCCACGCTAGCCTCACACCCCTGACCTTGTGATCAGGCCACCTCGGGCTCCCAGTGTGCTGTGATTACAGGCTTGTGCTACCTTCCCTGGCCAGACTAGTCTTTAGAGATAACTGAATGTGGAAGTTCAGTTGACAAGTGACTTGTTCAAATTGTTAAATTAGAAATATTCAGTGTTAAAACTGTAGCATGCTCTTGTGATATCATTGAGGCAACTAATAAACACCATCCTGTTTTACCAACAGGCATGTCGACCATGCTCCAAGCAGCCACAGCAAGTATTCAAGGGAGTCATTTTCAGGAATTTCTGATGCTCTGTTTGATATTGAAATGAAAGCGGATCCTTGCAAAGCCAGGGGAGAAGTGAAGAGAAAGATTGCTGTTGCAGGCAGCTGCAGAGGCTTTGAAAGCAGCAGCCTGAGAGGATTTTTTAGAGAGCCCACATTGAATGTGTGGTGTATCACTCAGAAAGACTCATGGTGGGGATATTGATGAAGTTTAAACAGTATATTAGAAATAAAGCTGGACACTATATACTCATGTGAGTGTTCATATATTTATCTGCATATCTATTTTTCTTTTATTTTCTTGTTATGGACTAAAAATAAAAAAAATTATAGACAAGGTTATTCTGAAATGGAAGAATTAAACCCTGTATTACATCCAAGGGGAATGGGTAAATATGGTAAACTCTCATCTGGCATTATCAGAGAATCAAGTCTAATCTGTTCATGTCACCTCACACATAGGACAACATCAGTATGTTATAGAACAAACTGGGGAATGTGCACAACTGCTCCAAGCCAGAGGCTTATGCCCTGCCACCTTCCAGGGCTGAGGATCACTGTCTCTGATTGGGACACTGATTAAATCACACTTTTAGTAAATGTGATCACTGTAGCATAAGAAACTTATTAAAAATATCTTATTTATATAAAACACTATCATATAACACACAAGGATAGAGAAAAATAGTAATGAACATTTGTGAACCTACTAGCTGTATTAAGAAAATAGTATTTTCAACATCTTTGGGTCCCCCATGTACTCATGACAGTGTGCTTTTTCACTTTTTTGAACTGTATGTTTATCGTTATTTCCTGCTATGATTTCATCACACATGGCTATATTATTTACGTTTTTGTTTGATGTAGTTTACTATTTTATATGAGTGAAATCATACCTGTATATTTTTATGGTACTTTATTTTGTTTCACAAGTCTTCAGGGGTTCAGCTAGATATAGATAGATGATAGATAGATAGATAGATAGATAGATAGATAGATAGATGATAGAGAGCATTTATTCAAATGAAAGTAAGATTCATGGTCCGTCAAGACAGAGAAAACATATAATAATGTGAATAGGGAAAGTTATATAAAGAATGATGAATTATAACAATTTGAACAATGAAATATTGTCTAGTAAAATGTAAGAAGAAGTCTAAATAATATGTGACGAGCACATATAAGGCAGTGCCATTGCTTCCAGGGTGAAGTTTGAGAAGCCAATGAACAGTTCCCTCCTACCTTGGCCTCACTGAATGTTAACAAGTCTCTGTGGTGTTGCATGTGAAAAACAGTGTAAATCCACACTTCAGGACTCCCCAGAAACTTGCCTTCTGGGCCACTTGTAAAGCTGTTTGGTAAGAAATGTCATCTCAGAGGGGCTCCACTGCAAGTTTGAAAAAAGTCCAGTATCGGAAGAAGCTCTTGGCTGCTGAGTTCTCCCGGCCACCATGAAGATGAAGAAGCGAGTGTTGTAGCAGCAGCCTGAGCTACAGAACCTGGGAGCTGGTGTACCCGGGCATACCCTCTGGGCCAGATACCAGACATGTCATTTCCAAAGCAGATTGGAAGCACTTTTTTGGAATTTCTCTCCAATGTCTTCTACTCACAGAGATGGACATCTTAACACTTGGCAAAGAAAAAAAATATTTAAAGGGTCCAAATCTATTTCTGTAAATAATCAAGAGTGAGTTTGTAGTGGATAACCCAAAGGAGGATACATGGTGCATCATAAAATATATTCGTTCATTTTCTGCTGATGTACACTTGGAATTTTTTTGGTTTTGTGAGCACGTCTGCTAATGCAAATAGTCAAGAGGTTCTCTTTCCTGACAGGATCTTCCGATAGGTGGAATATCTGGGTTATAAAATTTGTGGATCTTCAATTCTACTGGACAATGCCACTTATCATTTTAAAGTGATTTTATTTATTTATATTTCTACTAACAGGGTAATTACATTATATAAAACAATAAACATATGGGTTATTGTGGCAAGTTAAAGAAATATAAATAGTTCACTCTTATTAAAATCCAAGGCATTTGAGGGAAGAACAGTTTATACATTGAGCATCAAATACTTCAAAAGTTTTGGAAGACATACAGAGGAGTGTAACTACTTTCTTGTAGATTATCAAAATCCCATAATAAGTTTAAGCAGGTAGGAATATAGGCACATCTGCATTTCAGAAAGCATTCTAACCTAGATGAAACAGAAGGGCATCAATCCAGCAGGAGAACATAACTAATTTGTGTGTGTGTGTGTGTGTGTGTGAGAGAGAGAGAGACAGGGTCTCACTCTGTCACCCAGGCTAGAGCCAGTGGCTCAACGCAACCTCTACCTCCTGGGCTCAGGCGATCGTCCAACCTAAGACTCCCAAGTAGGTGAGATTACAGGCGTGCACCATCATGCCTGCCTAATTTTTGTATTTTTTGTGGAGACAGAGTTTCACCATGTTGCCCAGGCTGGTCTTGAACTTCTCGGCTCGACTAGTCGATCCATCCAGGCCTCCCAAAGTGCTGGGATTACAGGCATGAGCTACTATTCCAGGTCCCAAAATCTTTTGTCATGGCAACCGCTGTCATGTGGACTTTACCCTCAGAAAACATAAGATTACCCTCTTCTGTTGGATTTCAGCTTGGGTGTTACTTCTATTAGGAAGACTTTCAGGATGACTGTCCCTTCCTTTGTATCACCTACTAGACCATGAGCTCCTTAAGGACTGAGTTTTGAGTTTTTTTTTTAATTTACTTTCATTTTTGAAACTTGTGCAGAACATGTAGGTTTGCTACTATTTTGGCTCCAATCCCTACCAGTATGGAAAGTCCATAGGAGGCACTCATTTTGTGAGTAACCAGAGAAGCACACACATGAGACCCTCTGAGACATTCTGTGCTTTGAACAGAAGAGCTGCACTTCATTGTAGGAATTGCACAGTGCCTTTGTTATGGGGTTTGGCTGGGCATGCAATAGGCTTTTTGTGATGTCATTGATATAGAGTTGGACAGTAGTATAGATGTGGGACAAGGTGAGAATCATTATTCTATAAAATGGAACAAAATCCTGCACCACACTTGAAAGCTTTGTTAACTTTCAATCAATTCTGCCAGCATGCAAGAAGCATTTCCCCCAAAATACTGCATGCAGTTCAGTGGCTGAGGAACATACTGTGGCAACATATTTAATGTCACTGATAGGAAAACCGTTTTCAGAGACAGACTTCCTGGGTTCAAACCCTACAATTTGAGTATGGCTATGGGCAAATTATTGAAGTTTCCTGTTCTTAGGTTTCTTAACCTTTAAATGAGTATAAAATGTTATTTATGTCATGGGGTTGCTGTGAGAATTAAGCTAGAACATGTGAAGCACTTAGAACAGTCTGTAGCATAGAATTCATAATGAATAAACGTGTGATAGTTTCACTTGAATGACAGTAAGTTTTGGTTAGGTAATGAAATACAATTTTTCCCTCTTACCTATTCTGCATGATGACACAGTTGTAGCATAATAGATGGTAACTTTTTTAGCCTCTAGCACTAGAATTTGCAACTAATATTTCTTTTTTATGCATCTCATAAGTTGCTTATTGTTTATTTCTGTCTAATACAGGGCATTCTACATAACATGGCATTGAAGTTTTACTGAAAAGTTAGAATACTAGAAAGTCTTTCTTCTCTACAGTTAGGCAGATAATATACAATATTTTAAGAAGTGTTTGACATTTAAATGTTTCAAAGAACAACATTTCTGGAAAACTCTCCATATATGTATCTATGATCACCTTTTCTTAACTTTTTTGGATCTATCTTTCGAAGCCCAATGCTGATCAAATGACACTTCAGAAAACATACTAATTTACAATGCCATGGATTGATTAAAAAGACAGCCACTTGATCTTTTTCTAGGATACGCTGGCTTTTAGAAAGTATGTAATTGTTTTAATGTCTGTTAGTATGTAAAGGGTGACATTTAGATTTTTACTTTTTCAATTTCTAGCAAAGTTTGTTAAGTTTATAGAAATCACCTAAATTCCCAAAGTAGCTGTAATTTATTAATACAACTACGTGTAAACATTGGTGATTTATTAAATCATGGTAAACGACAACAAAATCTATCAGTATGACAACTGTGTTAAAATATCTTTTATACACTATTGAAGATAATTATGCATATCATTATTGTGTAAATAGCAGTCAGGTGCCTTGACTAATGCCTGAAATTCCAGCACTTTGGGAGGTGGAGGTTAGTAGATCACCTGAGGTCAGTAGTTTGAGACCAGCCTGGCCAAGATGGTGAAATCCCATCTCTACTAAAAATACAAAAATTAGCCAGGCATGGTGGCAGATACTTGTAATCCCAACCACTTGGGAGGCTGAGGCAGGAGAATTGCTTGAATCTGGGAGGCAGAGATATGGATACATTGTTATTTATGTACATGTATATGTAAAGTATCTGTCTTAGAATTATTCAAAAAGTTGTGTGAATTGAAAAACTTTTATTTTTATATAAAATAATTATCATGAAATAGTCATAAAATAGTAAAAATAACAAAAAAAGGCTGATACAACTAAATCCACTAAGCATTATATATACAATTATATGAAACACAATTGAGTTCCTCGAGACACTTTTTGTCTTTGGCTGGACCTTGCGCCTTGCCTTACCTGTGGCCGGGTCTTGCTCCAGGTCATGCCTATGACCGGGCCTTGCAGTGGCCCTTGCCTTGCCTGCAGCCTGGCCTTGCACCGGACCTTGTCTTTGGCCGGGCCTTGTGCCTTGTGTTTCCTTTGGCCGCGGCTTGCGCCAGGCCATGCCTGCGAATAGGCCTTGCACCGGCCCTTGCCTTGCCTTTGGCCGGGCCTTACCTGTGGCCGTGTCTTGCTTTTGGCCGGGCCTTGCACCTTGCCTTGCCTGTGGCCAGGCCTTATCTTTGGCCAGGTCTTGCGCCTTGCCTTGCTTGTGGCTGGGCCTTGCCTGTGGCCAGGTCTTGCCTTTTTCTGGGCCTTGCACTGGGCCATGACTTTTGCTGGGCCTTGCCTTCCTGTGGCCGGGCCTTGCGCCTTGCCTTGCCTTGCTTGTGGCCGGGTTTTGCGCCAGATCTTGCCTTGCCTGGCACCTTGCCCTACCTGTGGCCGGGCCCAGCCCATGGCCGGTCCCTGCCTGTATCCAGGCCCTGCCTTTGGCTGGGTCATGCCCGAGGCTGAGACTCGCCTGTGGCCGGGCCTTGCGCCTTGCCTGTGGTCGTGCCTTGAGCCGGGCCTTGCATTGCCTGTGGTTGGGCCCTGCGCCTTGCTTGCCTTTTGCCAGGCCCTGTGCCTTGACTTGCCTTTCCTGTGGCCGGGTCTTGGCTGTGGTCTGGACTTACCTGTGACCGGGCCTTGCCAGATGACCTGGGTGGGGACCAGAGCATGGGATGGGAGATGTGGCGCACAGGCAGGGTGGGAGTGACTCTGGCTGCTCCAGGCATAGCCAAGCTATTCCTTAGCTTCCTGCCCTCAAATCTGCAAATGGTGAGTTTTTCTTTCATTTTTTATTTTTTGAGATGGAGTCTCACTCTGTCTCCCAGGCCAAGTGCAGTGATGCAATCTCACCTCACTGCTACCTCTGCCTTTCATGTTCAAGCTATTCTCCTGCCTCAGCCTCCCATGTAGCTTCGATTACAGGTGCATACCACCACGCCCAGCTAATTTTTATATTTTGAGTAGAGACAGAATTTCATCATGTTAGCCAGGCTGGTCTCGAATTCCTCACCTCAGATGATCCACCCACCTGTGCATCCCAAAGTGCTAGAATTACAGTTGTGAGCCACCACACCAGGCCCCATGAAGGGTGGGTCTTTCTTGCCTGCTGAGCTAGACTGGCATGGGAGTATTGGGGCCTGCAGGGAATGCCCCACTTCTGGCTGCTCTGCCTCGATCCTAGAGTTCTGGCATGCCCCTGTGCCGCAAGGCCTGACACCCCCACCCTGTTCGCCCCTGCTACCTAGTCTGCTGTTCAGGCTGCCATCACACCTCTCTGCCCTGTGTGTCACTCAGGAACTCACACCTCTGTCCAATCTGCCATCTTCCTGATGAGATCCCAGAGGAGGCCTGAGAGCGTGGAGAAGGTCTGCTGCATCCACAACCTAAGGTGCGTGATCACCTGTGCGAGGAGGAGGAGGTGCTCTGAAAGGCCGACGTGTTGCTTCCCTGGGGAGCCAGGACACTGCTGAGCTCTAACTGCTCCCTGGGCTCCCCAAGGTTGGGACAGCATGGAGCAGTGGGGTGGAGGGGCTAGAGGCACCTGGTCATTCTGGCTGCATCCCGTGTACAGCTTTTCTGTAGTTTTGGCAATGAGCTCCTGGAGAAAAAGAAAAGACCAGGGTCATAGTCTATACGTCCAGAGGGGTCAACCCAGACAGGACAGAGTTCATCACCCCGGTTCTTGCCCAAATCTCTTGCCATTTCTGCTGAGACCTTTTTAAATTTTTTGTAGTTATGGAACCTTGTTATGTTGCCCAGACTGGTCTCAAACTCCTGGCCTCAAGTAATCCTCTCATCTCAGCCTCCCAAAGTGCTAGGATTACAGGTGTCAAAGTGCTGGAATTACAAGTGTGAGCCACTGTGCCAGGCCCACTTTTTCCTTTTCCTTTTTTTTTTTTTTTTTGAGAGAGAGTCTTGGTCAGAAGCCCAGGCTGGAATGCAGTGGCACAATCTTGGCTCACTGCAACCTCTGTCTCCTGGGTTTAAGTGATTCTCCTGCCTCAGCCTCCCAAGTAGCTGGGACTACAAGCATGTGCCACCACACCTGGATAATTTTTGTATTTTTAGTAGAGACAGGGTTTCACCATATTGGCCAGGCTGGTCTCGAACTCCTGACCTCGTGATCTGCCTGCCTCAGCCTCCCAAAGTGCTGGGACTACACACAAGAGCCACCATGCCTGGTCCCATTTTTTCAAATGAGAGTTTGTTACTTTTCACTTTCAAATGAGAATAGTTACTTGTCCAGATGAGTCAGAATGAGGAACTGGGATGTGCCCAGACCTACTCTAGTGTCTCTCTCGCACCCATCCCTTGAATCATCCCATGACTGAGTGCCCATTCTAAAATGTACACGCTCCTCTCTTTTGGTCTAGTGAGTAGGCTCCACCAACCAGGAACATGATTCTGGATTCTAGGTTTAAAAGTGACTGTAGGGCCAGATGCGGTAGCTGATGCCTATAATCTCAGCGTTCTGGAAGACCAAGGCAGGCACATCACCTGAAGTCAGGAGTTCAAGACCAGCCTGGCTAACATGGTGAAACCTCATGTCTAGTAAAACTATAAAAATTAGCCAGGCATGGTGGCATGTGCCTGTAATCCCAGCTACGTGGAAGGCCGAGGCAGGAGAATCACTTTAACCTGAGAGGCGGAGGTTGCAGTAAGCTGAGATCATGCCACTGCACTTCAGTCTGGGTGACAAAGTGAGATTCTCTGGAGAAGAAGGAGAAAGTTGAGGAGGAGGAGGAGGAGGAGGAGGAGGAGGAGGAGGAGAAGGAGAAGGATGAAAAGGAGGAGGACGGGAATCTGTAGCAGAAGAGCAGAAGCAGCAGAAACAGAAGCAGCAGCAACAAAAGCAGCAGCAGCAGCAGAATGAGAATCACTTGAGCCTGGGGAGGTGAGATCCTGTTGAAAAAGAAGAGGAGGAGGCAGAAGAGGAATAAGGAGGAGGAGGAAGAGGAGGAAGAAGTAGAAGAAGAAGAAAAAGGAGGAGGAGGAGGAAGGCAAAGAAGCAATAGAAGAAGAAGGAGAAGAAGAAGAAATGGTCTCTGAGTAGCCATAATGAGTAGGAAGAAAACCCAACCTACCTCTCCCTGGGTCCACTGGGAAAACATTGAGGCAGAGAAAGTCTTCCAAGAAAGACTAGGTTTGGTGAGTAAGAGATTCAAAAGCTAGAAGGAAAGGAGGATATTTAAGTTAATATTACTGCATAATATATAGCCCCCAAAATTTAGGCGTTTAAAATAACAATCACGCTGGATGTGGTGGCTCACGCCTGTAATCCCAGCACTTTGGGAGGCCAATGTGGGTGGAGCACCTGAGGTTGAGAGTTCGAGAGCAGTCTGACAAACATGGAGAATCACCATCTCTATTAAAAACACAAAATTAGCTGGGTGTGGTGGCTGGCACATGCCAGTAATCCCAGCTACTTGGGTGGCTGAGGCAAGAGAATTATTTGAACCTGGGAGGCAGAGGTTGCAGTGAGCCGAGACCATGCCATTGCACTCCAGCCCGGGCAACAAGAGCAAAACTCCATCTAAAAAAGAAAAAAATAACAACTTTTATTTTTCATGGTTCTGCGTGCTGACTGGATTCAGGTAGGTGTGATTTTCACTCGGGGACTGTCATGCTGTTGCAGTGGCTGGGGCTGGGTCATCGCAAAGCATTTCTCAGTCTCATGTCTGGCTACTGATGTTGACTGTCATCTGAAACCTGTGCTGGGACTGTTGATTGGAAGATCAAAATGTGGCCTCTCCCTGTGATCTGGCTTCCTCACTGCATAGTGACTGGGTAAAAAGAGCAAGCATCCCAGGAAGACCACGGAGAAATGGTGTCACCTTTTATGACCTACCTTGAATCGCTCCTGCCAGTCACAGACCTTCTTGAATTCAGGGGGAAGGAGCACAGACCTCGCCTCATCATGGGAGCAATGCTAAGGTCATGTCTGAAGAAGAGCACATGCCATTATTATTACTATTGTTGTTATCATTAAGAAGGAATTTTGCTCTGTCACCCAGGCTGGAGTGCAGTGGTGCAATCTCGACTCACTGTAACTTCCACCTTCCGGGTTCAAGTGATTCTCCTGCCTCGGCCTCCCAACTATCTGGGATTACATACAGGTGCCTGCCACCATGCCCTGCTAATTTTTGTACTTTACTTAGTACAGATGAGGTTTCACCATGTTGGTCAGGCTGATCTCAAAGTCCTGACCTCAGGTGATCTGCCTGCTTCAGCTTCCCAAGGTGCTGGGATTACGGGCTTGAGCCACCACACCTAGCACATGCTATTATTAAGAAGCCAGAAGGCAGCCAGGTGTGGTGGTTCATGCGTATAACCCTGCACTTTGAAAGAATGAGGTGGGCAGATCACTTGAGGTCAGGAGTTTGAGAGCAGCCCAGGCAACATAATGAGACCTCCCATCTCTATAAACATTTAAAAAAGGCCAGGCATGGTGGCTCACACCTGTAATACCAGCACTTAGGAGGCTGAGGCAGGTAAATCACAAGGTCAAGAGACTGAGACCATCCTGGCCAACATGGTAAAACCCCGCCACCACTAAAAAAATACAAAAATTAGCCAGGCGTGGTGGTGTACACCTGTAATCCCAGCTACTCGTGAGGCTGAGGCAGGAGAATAACTTGGACCGGGAGGTGGAGGTTGCAGTGAACCGACATCACACTACACTCTAGCCTGGGTGACAAGAGTGAACTCCTTCTCAAAAAAAAAAAAGAAAAATTCCAGTTTTGTCTGGGGATGGTGGCTCACACCTATGTTCCCAGCACCTTGAGAGGCCAAGGTGGGTGGATCAACTGAGGCTGGGAATTTTAGACCAGCCTGACAATATGGCAAAACCTTCTCTCTACTACAAATAGAAAAATTACCTGGCCTGTGGTGATGCGTGCCTGTAATCCCAGCTACTCAGGAACCTGAGGTAGGAGAAACACTTGAAACCAGGAGGCGGAGTTTGCAGTGAACCAGGATCGTGCCATTGTACTCCAGCCTAGATGACAGAGTGAGAGTCCACATCGAGAGGGGAAAAAAATGTAACTTTTGGCCAGGTGCAGTAGCTTATACCTGTAACCTCAGCACTTTGGGAGGCTGAGGGAGGCAGATGACTTGAGGTCAGGACTTCCGAGATGAGCCTGGCCAATATGGTGAAACCCTGTTCCTACTGAAAATACAAATATTAGCTGGGCATGGTGGTGCATACCTGTAATCCCAGCTACTCAGGAGGCTGAGGCAGAAGAATCACTTGAACCCAGGAGGCAGAAATTGCAGTGAGCCCAGACTGTGCCACTGTACTCCAGCCTGAGCGACAGAGCAAGAGTGTCTCAAAAAACATTCAACTTTTATTTTACTCTTATTGTTTTTGAGTCAGGGTCTCACTCTGTCACTCAAGCTGGAGTGCAGTGGTGTGATCATGGTTCACTGCAGCCTTGACCTCCTGGATTCAAGCAATCTTCACCTCAGCCTCCTGAGTATCTGGAACTACAGGTGCACGCCACCATGCCTGGCTAATTCTTGTATTTTTGTAAAGATAGGGTGTCACCACATTGCTCAGGCTGGTCTTGAACTCCTGAGCACAAGTGACCCACCCAACTTGGTTTCCCAAAGTGCTGGGATTATAGGTGTGAGCCATTGCACCAGCTCTCCACTTTTGTGTTGGATACAGGGGATACATGTGCAGCTTTGTTACAAGGGTATTTTGCACCCAGGTAGTGAGTAGAGCACATAATAGGTAGTTTTTCAACCCACAGCCCTCTTCCCTCCCACCCATCTAGTACCCCACAGTTTCTACTGCTTCCTATTTTAAAAATTTAAAAATTAGGCCAGGTGTGGTGGCTCAGGTCTGTAATCAAGACACTTTGCGAGGCAGAGGCAGGCAGGTCATCTGAGGTCAGAAGTTTGAGACAAGCCTGGCCAACATGGTGAAACCCCATCTCTACTAAAAACACAAAGTTTAGCCAGGCATGGTGGCACACGCCTGTAATCCCAGCTACTCAGGCGGCTGAGGCAGGAGAATTGCTTGAATTCAGGAGATGGAGGTTGCAGTGAGCCAAGATCACACCACTGCACTCCAGCCTGGGTGACAGACTGACACTCCAGTCTCACAACATAAAGATAAATAAACAAAAAATTGAAAAAATCAAAAATTTCAAAATTTTTAAAAATGAAGGGCACAGAGGATGGCAGAACGTGTTGCAGCCACCACCTTGGAAACTATAATCTGCCACAGAGGGCAAGCAGAAAGAATGTTGGAGTTTAGGATTTCAGAAATGTAGCCATCTGAAAGACGTCACAAGAGCCATTCCTGTGGCAGCTTAAGGGGAGTGGAAGCAAAAGTCATCAGAGCTGAGGAAGATGTGGGATAGTGAGTCAGGCAAATTGCATGCTCATCCACGTGGATGCTGACATCCTCAGGAAAGCAGAAGGACTTCAGGGAACAGAGGCCAAAACACAATCTTATGATTATTTTTCTTAAAAGACAGGGTCTGTCTTTGTCACCCAGGATGGAGTGCAGTGGCACAATCATAGCTCACTGTAGTTCTGAACTCCCGGTCTCAGGCAATTCTTCTGTCTCTGCCTCCTGAATAGCTAGGGCTACACTGTGTGCCACTATGCCTGGCTAATTTTGTATTTTTATTTTTTGTAGAGACGGGGTCTTGCTATGTTGCCCACCCTGGTTTGCAACTCCTGGCCTCAACTGATCCTCCCACGGTGGCCTCCCAAAGCGTTGGGATTACAGGCGTGAGCCACTGTGTTCCACTGGAAAACACTTTTTTTGAGTTGGAGTTTCACTCTTGCTGCCTAGACTGGAGTGCAATGGCGTGATCTCGGCTCATCACAAACTCCACCTCCCGAGCTCAAGTGATTCTTTTGTCTCAGCCCCCCTTGATCGCTTGAGCCTGGGAGCTTGAGGCTGCAGTGAGCTATGATCTTGCCACTGAACTCCAGCCTAGGTGAGAAAGTAAGACCCTGCCTCAAAAAAAATTTGACCTCCCATCATGTTGAGGTCCCAGCCTCTTCTACCCACTTACAAGAGTACATATGAAAACACTGGCCCACTTTACTCCAGCCTGTGTGTCAGAGTGAGACTCTGTCTCAAAATAGAATTTTTTTTTTGGCAAGGGGTGGTAGCTCACACCTGTAATCCCAGCATTTTGGGAGGCCAAGGCTGGTGGATCATGAGGCCAAGAGATCAAGACCATCCTGTCCAACATGGTGAAATCCCATCTCTACTAAAAATACAAAACTTAGCTGGGGCTGGTAGCATGTACCTATAGTCCCAGCTACTACAGAGGCTGAGGAAGGAGAATGGCTTGAATCCAGGAGTCAGAGGTTCCAGTGAGCGGAGAGCAGGCCACTGCACTCCAGCTCAAAAAATATATATATATATATTTTTGTGTTTTCTTTTTTTTTGACACGGAGTCTGCCAGGCTGGAGCACAATGGTGCAATCTTAGCTCCCTGCAACCTCTGCCTCCCGGGTTCAAGCGATTCTTCCGCCTCAGCCTCCCAAGTAGCTAGGACTACAGATGCGTGACAAACGCCCGGCTAATTTTTGTACTTTTAGTAGAGATGGGGTTTCGCCATGTTGGCCAGGATGGTCTCGATCTCTTGACATCGCAACCCACCTGCCTTGGCCTCACAAAGTGCTGGGATTACAGGTGTGAGCAACCATGTCCGGCAAAATCTTTTTTTTTAATTAAAAAGTTCTAGTATCTAAAATGAGCAAAATTGCCAGGCGCAGTGGATCACACCTGTAATCCCAGCACTTTGGGATGCCTAGGCGAGTGGATCATCTGAGGTCAGGAGTTTGAGACCAGCCTGCTGTGAGCCAAGATTGCACCACTGCATTCCAGCATAGAAAACACTAAAACTCCTAGCAATAAAAAAAAAAAAAAGGTAAAAATGTGTTTGAAAAGAACAGCAATAGCCAGGCACAGTGGCTCACACCTGTAATCCCAGCACTTTGGGAAGCTGAGGGTGGATGACAGCTGAGACTAGAAGTTTGAGACCAGCCTGGCAACATGGTGAAATTCTGTTTCTATACAAAATACAAAAATTAGCCAAGCTTGGTAGCATGCACCTGTAATCCCAGCTACTTGGGGGGCCGAAGGGGAAGGACTGCTTGCACCTGCCCAGGAAGTTGAGGCTGCAGTGAGAAACGATTGTGCCACCTCACTCCAGCCTGGGCAACAGAGCAATACCCTGTCTCCAAAAGGAAACAAAGAACAGCATCATTTCCTTATTATTGTTCACTGCAACCTCATCCTCCAGATTCAAGCAATTCTTCTGCCTCAGCCTCCCAAGTAGCTGAGATTACAGGCACGTGCCACTACACCCGGCTAATTGTTAGTAGAGACGGGGTTTGACCATGCTGGCCAGGCTGATCTCGAACTCCTGACCTTGTGATCCACCTGCCTTAGGCTATCAAAGTGCCAGGATTACGGGTGTGAGCAACAGTACCTGGCCAATCCCTTACATTTTTATAAAGATGTTTCCTTTGTTTCTTCTTTTTTTTGGGGGGGTTATTTCTCTTTATTTCCATCATAGAGAGTCCGGGTTCCCTTATCATCCTCCCTCCTCAGTCTCTGCCCCCAGGGGTTAAATAATTTAAAAAATATATTTAAAAAGCTGTAACAAAATAACATCAAAGGAAACGGGAAGAAGGATGGGGTGGTCAGGAATCATGAAGGAGGGTAGGGAAGAGAGCCTCTTCCCCACCCCCTACTCTTGGATTCCAGCCTGGGCAGCAGCTACAAAGTTGCAAAGGCTTTACGGCTATTGCAACAGCCATCAAAGGTCAAGCTGGGGGGTGCAGCTGCCTAATGGGAGGCAGCCGCAGAGGGTGCTGACCCAGCCCAGGATGAGCAGCGGTGATGGACGCTCCTGGGGTCCCTGGCTGGGAAAGGTATTGGGGGTCGCACGTACCTAGGCTGAGGTAAGGCGAATACGTGGCCGGGGTAGCAGTGGCGCTGGTAGCCCTTCACTGGCCATTGAGGAGCTTCCTCTGCGCGACCTTGCGCTTGTGCCCACCAGGCGCCGGGAGGTTGGTGTGCAGCACCTGCTCGCTGCGTCAGGTTCCTGCCGCTCCTGGCCCTGCAGACTGTGAAATCTTAAAACTCCTCTTTGGAGCTTATAGTTGACTGAAGCCAGGCGGGAGCCTGTCTATGCGGAACTGCCAGCTCTGCAGCTGCCTCCATCAACATCACCTTCCATCACCTGCACATGCGCGCTCCTGGAAGAACCAGCAGCACCGCCTCTACTTCCGATTGGCTCCGCGTGAGGGGCCGGCCTCCGGCGACGTCACGGCGGCTCCGCGCCTCCGGCGAGGTCACGGCGGCTGCCCGCCTCCGGCGAGGTCACGGCGGCTGCGCGCCTCCGGCGACGTCACGGCGGCTGCCCGCCTCCGGCGACGTCACGGCGTCTGCGCGCCTCCGGCGACGTCACGGCGGCTGCCCGCCTCCGGCGACGTCACGGCCGCTGCGCGCCTCCGGCGACGTCACGGCGACGGCCCGCTTCCGGCGCACAGAGAAGGGCTTCCGGCGACGTCACAGAGGCGGACCTTCGGCGACTTCACGCGGAAGTGTGTTGCCTAGGAGCTGTGTTGTTTTCTCCGCGGAGCAGAGCCTGGTAACCTCCACCGTTCGCTGCGTCCTGTGTGCTGCTGGCTGGAGAAGGGTAGGTAACAAACTGTGACCCAGCACAGAGTTTATGTGGGTCAAAAATAGAAAAAGTGTGTCCGGACGCTGGAGGGTGGGAAGTTTTCTCCGGGCGAGGAGTTCAGGAGCAGCCTGGCAAACTAGTGTGACCCCATTTCGGTAGTCCCACCTCAGCCTCCCAGCTACTTGAACCCCAAGGTTCAAGGCTGCAATGAGCTATGATCCTACCACAGCACTCCAGCTGGCGAGACTGAGGTAATCCCGGTCTAAAAAAATAAAAAACTATCCAAGCGTGCGACATTGGGGGACTGCTTAAAGGAAAATTGAGGCTGCCTGGGCCCTGTAATCCCAGCACTTTGGGAGCCCGAGGTGGGAGGATGGCTTGGAATCAGGAGTGAGAGACCGGCCTGAGCAACATGACAAAACCCCATCTCCACAAAAGATACAAAAATTAGCCAGGCACAGTGCATGCCTGACCTAATATTTTGTATTTTTTTGTAGAGATGGCGGGGGAGGGGAAGAGGGGGGGAGTCCCTCCCCCATGTTGCCCAGGCCGGTCTCGAACTCCTGAGTACAAGCCATCTTCTCACCTTGGCCTTGAGAGTTGTTGGGATTAAAGGTGTGAGCCACGGCACCCCACTTGGGTTAGGCTATTTAATAACAAAGTCTGTGGCTCGGCTTGGTGGCTCACACGTGTAATTCCAGCACTTTGGGAGTCCAAGCAGGTGGATCACCTGAGGTCAGGAGTTCAGGACCAGTGTAGCCAACATGATGAAACCCGGTTTCTACAAAAATTAGCCGCATGTGGTGGCACACACCTGTAGTCCCAGCTACTCGGGAGGCTGAGATGGAAGAATTGCTTGAACCCAGGAGGCAGGGGTTGCATTTAGTCGAGATCACATCACTGAACCCTAGCCTGGTTGACAGAGCAAGACTCCAGAGTTTAAGACCAGCCTGGGCAATGTAAACCCTCACTCTACAAAACAAGCAAATAAAAAAGGCAGGTGTAACCGTGTCCTCCTGTGTCCCCTGCCACTTCGGATGCTGGGGCAGGAGGATCACCTGAGGCCAGGAGCAGGTCTGCACTGAGTTAGGATCATCCCACTGCTCTCCATCCTGAGCAAAAGAATCAGACCGGCCTCGAGCGGTGGCTCACACCTGTAATCCCAGCACTTTGGGAGGCCGAGTCGGGTGGATCACGAGGTCAAGAGATCGAGACCATCCTGGTCAACATGGTGAAACCCCGTCTCTACTAAAAATACAAAAAATTAGCTGAACGTGGTGGCGCGTGCTTGTAATCCCAGCTACTCGGGAGGCTGAGGCAGGAGAATTGCCTGAACCCAGGAGGCCGAGGTTGCGGTGAACCGAGATAGCGCCATTGCACTCCAGCCTGGGTAACAAGAGAGATACTCCGTCTCCAAAAAAAAAAAAAAAAAAAAAATGAATGAGCCCATGTCTCTAGATAGCTAGCTAGATAATTGATATGTAGTTTTCTATCAGAATTTTTTCCCTACATTTGAGCATATTTTTCTAAAGTAGCATTCAACACATCAGCATCTTACACTGTTATTAGTTGTTAATGTGATTGTTTTTCTGAAATACAGTATCCTTGACATAAGCAGTTTTTGTCTGTCAAAGCACACAGATAGGTCCTCAAGTGAATTTGCCTGACGTTGGTGACCTTGGAACCATTTTCTCCTGTTGATTGGAACAGTCAGTCAGTTTGGGTCACTGTTACCCTTGGAGGAAAAGCCCAAAGGCAACAAATAAGGGCACTGGTGTCCAGTCCCTTCTAGAAGCATCTTCACCTTTCCTGAAGGTTTCCCTTGATGAACGTGGAAGTGCTGTATGTAGAATTGGCTGTTCCAGCATCTTTGTACATCAGGCCAAATTTATATGTCTTCCCTTTATGAGAGGCATCCTGGTAGGCTAGGAGAGTTACACAGGAAGTCTGATCTCAGCTTCACTGTCCAGAGATGCAACATAGTCCAATCAATCAAGTAACATTCTCTGAGCCTGTTTGTCTTTTACTTATTATTTTTTTTATTTTTTAGAGATGAGGTCTTGCTCTTTTGCAGTGGTGTCATCTTGGATCACTGCAACCTCCACCTCTCGGGTTCAAGTAATTCTCCTGCCTCAGCCTCCTGAGTAGCTTGGACTACAGGCATGTGCCCACCACATCCAACTAAGTTTTGTATTTTTAGGAGAGATGGGATTTCACCATTTTGGCAAGGATCGTCTCGATCTCTTGACCTCATGATCCACCTGCCTTAGCCTCCCAAAATGCTGTGATTACAGGTGTGAGCCACCACACTTGCCCTGAGCTCATTTTTTTGGCTATAAAATAAGAATACCAATTATACTAATCTAAAAAGACAGCTTCTTGTATTGTCTTTTAGTTTCTATGAAACTGTAACACAGTAATTATTTTCTTTGCCATGCCACATTTGTTTTTGTTTTCTTGAGATGGAGTCTCGCTGTTGTAGCCCAGGCTGGAGTGCAGTGGCATGATCTTGGCCCATCCTGTATCATACCCACAGAGAGACCCTTTTTTCCTCCAGGGCCTGGGGAGCAGCCAGGTTCCATGAGTTAAATGCAGATCTGAACCATACCGAGCTGGGATTAAAATACACACCCTTTTCTTCTAAAATGTAGGTAAGGATTCCAACTTGGTGTGCTGGAAAGTGTGGCAGAGCCAGACCAGACAAAGACTGATCGCCTGGAAAAGCATGCTGTCAAAGGCCTTGGTGAGTGCTGAGTGCCATGGCTCACACCTTTAATCCCAGCACTTTGGGAAGCTGAGACAGGCGGATCACTTGAGGCCAGGAGTTTGAGTAGAGCCTGGGCAACATGGCAAAACCTGTCTCTACTAAAAACACAAAAATTAGCCAGGTGTGGTGGTGCTTGCCTCTAATCCCAGCTACTCGGGAGGCTGAGACAGGAGAATGGCTTGATCCAGGCAGGCAGAGGTTACAGTGAGCCAAGATCACACCACTACACTCTAGCTTGGGCAACAGAGTCAGACTCCATCTCCAAAAAAACAAAACAAAACAAAAAAAACATAAAGAACAAAGGTCTACTTCTGGGGGTTGGGTGGGGGACTCCTGACCGAACTGGAAAGTTTCTTCAGGTGGGGTGGGTTGTTTGTTTTGAGATGGAGTCTGGCTCTCTCACCCAGGCTGGAGTGCAGTGGCACGATCTTGGCTCACTACAATCTCCGCCTCCCCGTCTTCAGGTTTAAACAGTTCCCATGTCTTAGCCTCCTAAGTAGCTGAGGTTACAGGCATGTGCCACCACACCGGCTAGCTTTTTTGCAGAGACAGGGTTTCACCATGTTGACCAGGCTGGTCTCGAACTTCTGGCCTCAAGTGATCTGCCCACTTTGACCTCCGAAAATGCTGGGATTACAGGCATGAACCACTGCACCCAGCCCCTTCAGGTGGGTTTTGAGGCTTCACTATGATACTAGTTTCCTGTTTCTGCTGCAACAAATTACCACACACTTAGGGCTTAAAACATTGATGTAGCTGGGCATGGTGGCTCACGCCTATAATCCAACACTTTGGGAGGCTGAGGCGGGCGGATCACCTGAGGTCGGGAGTTCGAGACCAGCCTGACCAACATGGAGAAACTCCATCTCTACTAAAAATGCAAAACTAGCTGGGTGTGGTAGTGCATGCCTGTAATCCCAGCTACTCAGGAGGCTGAGGCAGGAGAATTGCTTCAACCTGGAAGGCAGAGGTTGCAGTGAGCCGAGATCGTGCCATCGCACTCCAGCCTGGGTAAAAAGAGTGAAACTCTGTCTAAAACAAAAAAAGCAACACAGATGTATCCCCTTACAGTTCTGAAGGCCAGAATTTTAAAGTCAGTCGCACTGATTCAAGGTGGGAGCAGGGCAGGTACCTTCCCAGGCTCTGTAGGAGAATGAGTTTCCTGGCCCTGGAGGCATCCTGCACTCCTCAGCTTGTGCTGCCCTTCCTGAATGACTCGAGGTTCCTGCTTCCATCACTATACTTCCCATCGCTCTCCATCACCTGCTCTGCTCTGATAAGGATCTGGGTGAGTACATCAACCCCACTGTGACAAGCCAGAATAATCTTCCTGGCCAAAAGTCCTTAACTTCATTATATCTGCAAAGCCCCTTTTACCATATGAGGTCATGTTCACCGGTTCCTGGGATTAGGTTATGAGCATCTTGGGGGGTCACTATCAGCCTATTACAGGTATGCTGCAAAACTATTACACCTTCCTGGTGTTTCTGTGATTGGGAGGAAAAGGGTTGGGATTTTTGCTTTGGGGTTCCTCTTAAACTTGCTTTTTTTTTTTTTTTTTCTTTTTTGACATGGAGTCTTGCTCTTTTGCACAGGCTGGCTGCTGTCTCCGTTCCCTGCAACATTTGTCTC